AGCTTTTTTCTTTTTGCTTATGTGGTGCTGAGGAATCGAACCCAGGGCCTCATGCATGCAAGGCAAGCGCTCTACCACTGAGCCACCTTCCCAGCCCAAATTTAAGACTCTTAAGGGCAATTTAACTAAAAGGACAAAGATTATTTTCTCTGATTAAAATTGACTTCATTAAGCATCTTCAATTTGTATTTCTTTTTTCTTGGAGGTGAGGACTGATATCAAGCCTGATGTATGCCAAGCACAAGGTCTCCAACTAAGCTAACTAGAGTTCTACTCTCCTAATTATATTTCTTAGTTTTCAATTAGTTTTTTTTCTTCTGAGGTGATTTTTTTTTTCAAATTCTGATACTCCATCACCACCATTCCCATTTTCAAAATGTTTTTGTCAGCTTACTGTATAATATTAATAGGTCCTGGGGGCTTGAACTCAGAGCCTGGGCGCCTGTTCCTGAGCCTCTCTGCGTCCAAGGCTAGCACTCTACCACTTGAGCCACAGTACCACTTCTGGCTTTTTCTGTTTATGTGGTACTGAGGAATCAAACCCAGGGCTTCATGAATGGTAGGCAAGCACCCTTCCACTAAGCCACATTCCCAGCCCAATATTAACAGTTTGATAAAGGTTTAGATAAAAGATATTTAAGAATTGCTCACTAATTTTATATGTGTAGGGATGTGTATTTGACTCTGAAAAAAAATCATCTTACTGTAATATATCTGTAATATATTTTCCTTCAGTGTGTGTGTCTGTGTTGGTCCTGGGGCTTGAACTTAGGACCTGATAGCTATCTGTGAGCTTTTATGCTTAAGGTTAGTGCTTTAACTCTTTGAGTCAGAGCTCTATTTCTGGCTTTTTGGTGATTAATTGGAGATAGGAATCTTACTGACTTTCCTGCTCTGGCTGGCTTTGAACTGTGATACTATGATCTCAGCCTCCTAAACAACTAGAATTAAAAGTGTGAGCCACAGGCACTAGGTTTCCACCAGATTTTTAAAAATTTCTAACTATGATCTTCAGCACTGGTATGAAGATTCACCAAGACCAGCTTATAAGAGCCTAAGTGGATGATGCCAGGAATAGTGAACATTACCAAAATATGTCTTAATAATAGTTTTACTTTTTTTTTTTGTAGGTCATGGGGCTTGAACTCTGGGCCTAGGCCTGGGCTGTCCCTGAGCCCTTTAGCTCAAGGTGAATGTTCTACTACTTGAGCCACAGTGCCACTCCAGTTTTCAGGTGGTTATTTGGAGATGAGTCTCACAGACTTTCCTGCTGGGCTGGCTTTGAACTGCAATCCTCAGATTTCAGCCTCCTAAGCAGCTAGGATTACAGGTGTGAGCCATCAGCGCCTGGCTTAATAATAGTTTTATACTGTAAAAACTATTTTTACAATATAAAAGCTATTCCCAAATAAAATGGACTAACCTCCCACAGCATGTAAGATAACTTCTGGGGCACAAGTATCCCATTTTTTACATCCAGGACTTGCAAATACATAGGCAGAGGCTTTGCCTTCAATCAGTTGGATAATCTGAAAGGATAAAAATATTAATTAATCCTCAACATGAAATGGATGAGATACAAATTAAAAAATAACTGCTAATACCTAAAGAGCACTTTTCATCAGTTCCTCTGTCATATTTCAATTAAAGCCTTTACATAACATCAACACTATGAAGAAATAATAGATGTTTAATAAAATATGGAAACCTAAAAGAGAAAAAATGGGAAAAATATATAAGAAAGATATCTGAAATATCCTCTTATCATATACCAAATTAGATAAAGGTTTATTTTATTTTTTGTTATTTTATTTCTTACTGTCATATTAAGATTTTTAAACTTCAACACTGACCATTATTAAGTAAAGGACAGGGAAGTAGTAGGCAATATAGTAATACACCAGTAATTCTCACATGTGTGCATGGCTGACTGGTCTAACAAGTCCTTCCACAGTTCTTCAGAGTCAAATCTCCTGCTATGACCTTTTAAATAGTCATCCCAACCTTTTTTTAACACTCACACAATTGTGGCCCCTGATATAGCTTGCATGACTATCTAAACAGAAACTTGCTATCAAATTTCACTACTCAATTGACTTTTTTTGTATTACGGTAAAATAATTATTTCTAAAAATCTCAGACTTCAAATACTAAGAGAATAGACTAAGAGAAGGAAGAAAATTTCAGTAAACATAAAATAACCAATTATGTCTTTCAGTACTATTTATGAAAACCATAAGACATTTTAATCCTGCTGTAAACTTTTGAGTAAAACCCTTTTTTCCCTACCTAACCAATGTTCCAAGTCTAATATGTTTAGAACTATACCAGGTGCATCATTTTTAATGGGTGAGGAGATGAAGCTTTCATCAAATTCTTTTTTTTTTTTTGGTCTGTTGTAGGACTTGAACTCTGGGCCTGGGCGCTGTCCCTCACCTCTTCAGCTCAAGGCTAGGGCTCTACCACTTGAGCCACAGAGCCACTTCTGGTTTCATGGTGGTTTATTGGAGGTCAAGGTCTCAAGTACTTTTTGCCTGGGCTGGATTTGAATCGTGATCCTCAGATCTCAGCCTCCTGAGTAGCTAGGATTACATTACAGGCTTGAGCCACTGGTGACTGGCTCATGAATTTATTTATTTATTCATTTTGGTCAGTAGTGGGGCCTAAGTCTGGGCCTAGGCGCTGTCCCTCAGCTCTTCAGCTCAAGGCAATCGCTCTACCACTTGAGCCACAGTGTCACTTCTGGCTTTTTCTGCTTCTGTGGTATTAAGGAATTGAACCCAGGGCTTCATGCATGCAAGGCAAGCACTCTACCACTGAGCCACCTTCCCAGCCCTCATCAAATTCTTAAAGGGGCCCTTACTGTAAAAAAAAAAAAAAAAAAGTTACAAACTGCCAAGGAAAGCTTTTTCAAAAGAGAAAGGTCCAAATGGAAGGAAAAGGAACTAATGTTTTGTAGAATGATGCCCCTTGGAAATAAAAGGTGATCAGTGTTCCTGATTACAAAAGGCAGGGGCAAAGAATAACTCTATTTGTCACTATTTGTTTCAGTGAATACTAAGAATATATTTCCATCTTAAAATGTTTGTATTATGATGGGCTCTGGTGGCTCATACTTGTAATCCTAGCTACTCAGAAGGCTGAGATTTGAGGATTGGGGTTCAAAGCCAGCCCTGTGTAGGAAGCTCATGAGACTCTTTATCTCTGACTACCAAAAAAGTCAGAAGGGCCAGTGGCTTATGCCTATAATCCTAGCTACTCAAGAGGCTGAGATCTGAGGATCATGATTCAAAGCCAGCCCAGGCAGGAAAGTCCCTGAGGCTCTTATCTCCAATAAACCAACTGAAAGCTGGAAGAGGCCCTGTGGCTCAAGCAGTAGCTGAAGAGCTGAGGGACAGTGCCCTAGCCCAGAGTTCAAGCCCCAGGATTGACAACAACAAAAAAAGTCAGAAGTGGAGTTTTGACTCAGGTGGTAGAGCGCTAGCCTTGAGCGAAAAAGCTCAGAGGTAGTGCCTAGGCCCTGAGGTCAAGCCCCAGGACCAGCACACATATACTATACACATAAAAAGTTATTGTCTTAAGTAAATTTTTGTTTTGTTTTCATGCTAGACAGAACCCCAGGAATTAAACGTGCTAGGCAGGTTCTATCACTGATCTACATCACCAAATTTGTTTTTCTGAGACAGGGTCTTGCTATGTAGCTCAGGCCAGCTTGGAACTTGCTAGGTAGCACAGGCTGGCTTCAAACATACAATCCTCCCATTTCAGCTTCCCTTGTGCTATGCCACTATATCCATTGTTATAATTTTTTAAATTATTTGTTTATGCCAGTACATAGACCTGGGTCCTGCTTTATGCTCAAGGATAGTGCTCTACCACTTGAGCCACACAGCTCTACTTCTGGCTTTTTGGTGGTTACTTTGGTAAACGTCTCATGCACTTTCCTGCCAGGGCTGGTTTTGAACTGCTATCCTCAGATCACAGCCTCCTCAGTAGCTAGGATTACAGGCATGAGCCTCTGACGACCAGCTATATTTATTTTTCATCATTATCAGTAAATGCCTTTAAAAAACCTACACATGGCTGAATATTGCTTGTGAAGCATACAAGTGGAGACTATGAACTGCACTCAGCTCAATAAACATCAGCCTTCCCAGTGCTAGGTACTGCATGGCATATGCATCTATCAGCAATGCATGGTATTTAGTGGCACTGAGCAGAAGTATGCGTTGAGGAATGGTAGGAGATGAGGCTTGGAGATCTACAGGGGCCAGGCTATAGAAAGCTTCACATTCTTCTTTTTTTTTTTGGTCCAGTCATGGGCCTGAACTCTTGGCCTGGGCGCTGTCCCTCAGCTCTTCAGCTCAAGGCTAGCGCTCTACCACTTGAGCTACAGCACCACTTCCGGCTTTTCTTTTTGCTTATGTGGTGCTGAGGAATCGAACCCAGGGCCTCATGCATGCAAGGCAAGCACTTGACCACTGAGCCACCTTCCCAGCCCGATCACATTCTTTGTACTGGTCTTGGATCCTAAATTGTTGAGATGGGGAGTCATCTAAGAATTTGGAAGAGATATAGTTTTTATCTTTTATATTTGCTCTAGTCATTATGAAGACTGGAGTGAAATAGAAAACTGTGAACTACAGAACAATGAAGGTGGGTGACAGGTTTCAGTTATGGTACTAAATGGACAAGAGGAGGTATTAGAAAAGAAGTTATATAGGTAGGGTGACTGTGACGAGGAAAAATGGAGACTGGGTGAAAGGAAGGAAGAAATCTGAGGTGTGAGGAAGGAAAAATCAGCAAACAGGGAGAGGAAAACATCTGGGGATGGGTGGAACTTAGGCATGCTGAGATACCTGAGGGATGTTATCATAATGACATCCAGTGTAAATCAGATGAGAAAAGGTCAGGGTTTATGGGGGTAGATGAAATTTTGACCCATTGCACATTTGTTCCCAGGAGACTAGAAGCCTGGATGAAAGAATTGAGGAAATAGCCAGAAAGGATGAAGACAAGTCTATGCTTGGACTCTATTGAAGGGCTAAGAAATAATCCAGAAGGTCCTTGAGAACTAAGGTCATTGGCAAGAGTCATGGGCTGTTACCTCAGATAAGAAAGATGTCAACTTTAACTGCCCTCCCTCCTCCCACACACTTTGTAGGTCTCTCTTTCTTTCTTTTTTTTTTGGGTCCGGTCGTGGGGCCTGAACTCTGGGCCTGGGCGCTGTCCCTCAGCTCTTCAGCTCAAGGCTAGCGCTCTACCGCTTCAGCCACAGCGCCACTTCCGGCTTTTTTCTTTTTGCTTATGTGGTGCTGAGGAATCAAACCCAGGGCCTCAGGCATGCAAGGCAAGTGCTCTACCACTGAACCACCTTCCCAGCCCCATTATTTTATATTTTTAAGCAGGTGCTCCCAGCCCAGCTCTATTCTACCTTTTAAAAGAAGTTTGAGACTCAAGAGTCGATGACACATCTTTTTCATACCTTATTTCCTGCTCCTCCCACTCGCAGTACATCATCAGGGTTCATAGCACTAATACAGTCCGTGACCAGCTTGTTGCTGTGGGATCTGGTAGTGGTGATAATGTGCTTCCCAGCAGGGGCTTCTTTCAGTTGAAACCCAAAGGCGCCTAAACCTAAAACTCCCCAGATTGTCCTTCCCAGCACAGCATCGGGTCCTGCCTATGTAGAGAAGGTGGGAGGCAGGGAGAGGAGGGGACAAAGCTTGTAATTATCTGACGAAAGATATCAGTCATAAATGGAGTATTTAGTTACAGTTAGACCATTTCAAATATAAGGTATTTATAAAAATAAAAGCATGATAATATGATTAAAAAAAAACAAGTATAATAACACTGATAAAGAACTTGTCCTGAAAAAATAGGCTGATTATTCTCATTGTTGTTTTGGTTAGTATCAAAGGTATTGAAGGGAATTCTTGAATCATCAGCAAAGGAAATATATATTGACTTATGATTTCTTTCTAAATGATTCAGCGATGTGTTTGTAATACTGAAGATTGCCATTATTACCAGTATTGTCTATGAAATGAAACACTATGTACTGATCATAACTTTCAGTATCTAAGAAACAATAGGGACCATGTTATTAAACATAGTCAAAATGTATTTTGCTGCCACAGAGACAGAACAAGTAAATAAGATGATATTAAACAGTAGCCATAAATAATGAGGTCAGGCCGGGTGCCGGTGGCTCATGCCTATAATCCTAGCTACTCAGGAGGTTGAACTGAGGATCCTCATTCAAAGCCAGCCCAGGCAGGGAAGTCTTTGAGACTCTGATCTCCAGTTAAACACCAGAAAATTGGAAGTGGCACTGTGGCTCAAGTGGTAGAGTGCTCGCCTTGAGCTGAAGAACTGAGCGACAGTGCCCAGTCCCAGAGTTCAAGCCCCACGACTGATCTCCCTCAGAAAAAAAAACTAAAAATGAGGTCATGCTTAAGAGTTTACTAACATTTGTACCAGTAAATGATGATAATGCAATCATAGAATCTGTGATTTCCTTTGCAAAGAATTTTCAACCATATTGTTGTAAGTGGATACATAGAAAAATAAAACCTGTATGTCAGAGAAAATAAATCTAGTACATAAAATAATTATTCCAAAGTCATCAAAACATGGTATTAACATAGTACATATACTGTAGACAGGAATATATTCTGCTCAATACCATACAGCTACTAGACACCAAACTAAATGCTTTACAGGTATTATCTCATCCAATCCTCAAAGCAACCCAAGGAAGTACATATTATTATCCAAATTTTAAAGAAGAGGAAAATAAGATTTGGTATCATTTAGGTAAACTGACCAAGGACTCTAGGAAATTTATAACCAAATCTAACCGCATCTATGTTGAAAAGTGTCTCTCCTTTGTTCTTTAATTTTTGTTTCTTTTCTTTCTCCTCTTCCCCCCCCCCCTTGTTTTTTTTTTGTCAGTCCTAGGAATTGAACTTAGGGCCTGGGCACTGTTCCTGAATTTTTTGTGCTCAAAGAGCACTCTATCACTTGAGCCACATTTTCACTTCTGTAGAGGTAAGAGTCTCATGGACCTTCTTGCCTGGCTGAGTTCAAACTGAGATCCTTAAATCTCAGCTGAAGCTACTATAGGCATGAGCCACTGGCATCCAGCTTTCTCCATGTATTTATTTATTTTTATTTTTTATAATGAGGTTTCACTATGATGTTTGGGCTCTCTTTGAACTCTTGAGTTTCTCCTTTCCCAGCCTCCCAAGTAGCTAGGATTATAGGCACATGCTACCATGCCAATTAAAGTTGATATTCTTTTTTTTTTGGGGGGGGGGGTCTGGGCAAGCACTCTAGCACTAAGCCACACTCCCAGCCCTGGACCTGACTTTTAACCCCAGATTTGGTATTTACCCATTGGTGCTATTAGCAACTTCATTTCCTCAGTTTCCCCTTCTTGTTTGTTTTTCTGTTTTATTTTTTTTTTGGGGTCCGGTTGTGGGGCCTGAACTCTGGGCCTGGGCGCTGTCCCTCAGCTCTTCAGCTCAAGGCTAGAGCTCTACCACTTGAGCCACAGCACCACTTCCGGCTTTTTTCATTTTTGCTTATGTGGTCCTGAGGAATCAAACTCAGGGCCTCAGGCATGCAAGACAAGCACTCTACCACTGAGCCATCTTCCCAGCCCCAGTTTCCTCTTCTTTAAAATGGGATATATCTTCCTTACAGAGTGTGCTCAGTATTAAGAGATAATTCATGTGAATCCCTTGAGTCTAGAGCTCATAGTAAGCTCTTATGCTCTTGATAAGTTTTAGCTTTAAGATGATCATGACTGACTAAATTGAAATCTTTAGCCTTGAATATCACACAGCTGAGCCAGCTTTCTATGTCAATGTGCTGAAACAAATTTTATGGCATAAGCAAAGAGAAAGAAAAGAGAGGATAGAGTAGAGAAGGGAATGTTGCCAAGGGAGAGGTAATGAGCTGAACAGAAGAAAATGAGCTGGTGCACAGGAGGGACAATGCTGCTCGGGTACCACAAGTGCCTACCTCTTTTCTACCTAGTGGTTTAGGCAAGTCCTAGCTGTATTTCTCACCTTTGCTTCATTCCTGTGTTCCCTTAACTTCTGCGTTTCATTGTTCTGTGAAAGATGAATATAATTTTTTCTAATCTCAGAAAGAAGGGATGAAAATTATTAATAAATCCTAAGCATTTAGATCTTTATTTCTGATAAAAGGTGACATTCATTAGTCTCTTTAAAGAATTAAATGCTCCCTTTTAAACCATTAATTACTTTAAAGTGAATATGGAAATCATACTTATGTCTACATATAATACTGTACCCATATAAAGTCATATTATAAAAATTAATGGCCACTTAAGCAATTCAGAAAGAAAGACTTTCCCAAGAATATACAACTATTTTGGTAAGTCTGAAGAAACATATGGTTATAAATAAGCAGCAGGAAAAAGCAAATTTATATTAGAAGTAAATTTATATTAGAAGTAAACATGAATCCTCGTTTCAAATTAGAAATTGAAGAAGTAATCATCTTTGCTTACTTTGTTTCTCCAAAGGTCTATCAAAGTCATATTAATGCAAATACCTCAAGTATTTTATTTCAATAATTTTGTTTAAAATTTAATATGATTTAATAGTGTATTCTTGGTTTGAAAGTAACACTAATCTTCTGCATCTAAGGAAGACACAATATAATGGGCAGTCAAAGAGATTAGAAGAGACGAAGTAAGAAAAAAGAGTGCAAGGGCATATTTAATTCATTATCACATGGATTCTAATTAGGTACTACACAGGATTACCTAGATAGCAACATGGTTAGCGTCTTGTCTTGGCTGACATGGTTCATTCCTTCAATTGCTTCAAGAACTACCTAGAAACCATGTGTCTTGATGACTCAGATAATCAAGAACCGTATCAGTGATTCCCAAAGTTTTGCACTTCAGTAGTAAATAATAAAATGCAGTGTAAACAGAGTCTCTCTATATAAATATACAAATATTAATATCTATAGATAACAATACAGTCCTGGTACCAACACCCTCAGAGGTTCTAGTTCAGTAAGTCTAGAGTATAACCTGGGGACCTGCATTTTAAAAAGTTTTCCATATGACTGCTCATGAAACATGCTAGAAAACAGTGGACTAGATGGCACTTGGAATCATACCACAGTATGCTTATTTAGTTAACATTTTTGTGTTACAGATAGTAGTACCTGGTAGTTGTAATAAGGCTGGTTAATGATTCCTGCTATGGCTTTTCCTTCATAAGCGATTCCAATAAGAACTGTTACATTATCAAGAAGACCTATGAAAAAGAGGTATCAGTTATACTTCTTTTGTGTTATGACTCATCACAGTACAAGTTATTTTTGCAGTAAAAAGTCAGGAATTGGAACCAGACACTGGTGGCTCACACCTGTAATCCTAGAGACTCAGGAGGCTGAGATCTGAGGATTGTGGTTTGAAGCCAGCTCAGGCAGAAAAGTCCCAATGAGACTCTTATCTCCAATTAACCACTCAAAAAACCTGGAAATGGAGCACTAGCTTTGAGCAAAAGAGCTCAGGGACTCTCAGGCAGTGGGTTCAAACCCCACAACCAACAAAATAAAACAAACAATAAAGATACCTGCTTTTCATCTAATATAAAATATATCATATGTACACAATTAAACACCATATCCTAGTGTAATATAAACACAAGAGACACTCACCTTCAGTATATTCCTTAGTACCGTCCAGAGGATCAACCCAAACTACAAGCTATAAAATAAAAATGAAGAAAAAGGAAATACACAAATCAGGTATACAATCCCCAAATAGATATAAAGTTTAAAGCCATTTTTTATTTAAAAAAAAGTATAAGGTAGGCTAGGCACCAGTGGCTCAAGCCTGTAAACCTAGCTACTCAGGAGGCTGAGATTTGAGGATTGAAGTTCAAAGCCAGCGAGGACAGGAAAGTCCATGAGATTCTTATCTCCAATTAGCCACCAGAAAACTGGATGCCTTAAACTAACACAATCAGTTTTGTAACAGTAAAATACTTAAAAATTCTATAGTCATAGATTAATTAGCTCCATTTAGACAAAAAAGTAATGGTAGAGGCAGGAAGATTACAAGGTCTAGGCTAGCCTAGATGTGAGACTGTATCTCAAAAAATAAGAAATGTTGCAATATGAGATATTTAACTGACAACATTTTGTTGTCACTTGAGTACTAGGCACAATGCTGTGAACATACTGAGCTCTAGATGGTCCTATAGGGGAATTTTCAAAGAGGCACCAAGAATGCTTTGAACCAGGTATGGTTGTCAGATTAAAACAAACAAAAAAGTCTGGTTACCTTAAAGATACAATTTACATAAGCAAAAAAAAAAAGTGAATAGTTCATACAATTAGCAATACATAAAGAAAATAAATAGCATCTGCTTAGGACTTTGAATGAATCAGAGTAGGCGGCCATGAAGCACTGAAATTATACTTCACATGCATTTTTGGTGAGAGCCTTTTGTTGATGGAATTTACAAACTGTCTCACTTTCTATATCTTCCACAACACAGAACAAAGTCCCAGATGAACAGAGTATAATGTAAAACTGTAAAGTGGAGCTTACATCTTCTTCTTTAATCCGACTGTACTGTGACGGGCACGGCTGCCTCAGTATCTCCTCCCACTGACCGTCCTCAATCAGCTCCTGATCCACTTCCTCAGAAGGTAGGTCCTGTGGGAGAAACAACACTGACGGTTACTGTTTAGTGTTCCCAGAGTACCTCCTGTGTTAATGCAGCATCACAACTTTTACTAGTCCTTTCAACTTACATTCATGTCAATAGAGCTTTGAAAGTAAACCTAATTAAAATCCCTAAAGCAAAAACCGTATGTGACCTACCAAAGCTGACTTGATGGTCACAACTTGAAAGGAGGGATGGGGGGATTGGAGTGAAAAAGGAAGGAAGGGAGGGGGGGGAGAGAGAGAGAGAGGGAGAGAGAGATTTTTTAGTACAAAAATATTATTACTGGGCATTCAACTAAAAACCTTGAGGTTGTTAGAAAAGTGCTCTACCACTTGAGCTATAATCCCAGTCCCTGAACAGAGTTTAAAAAGAGATTTTAAAAAAAATTTAACTTCATAAGCTTATTTTACAGAAACTTACTCTAACCCTGGGGACATGGCTCAGTGGTAGAGTACTTATATATTCACGAGGCCCTGAGTTCAATCCCCAGCCCTGAAAAACAAAAAATCAAAACAAAGTAAAACAAAATTTATCCTAGAGCTAGCATGGTAATGAATGTTTTTAATCTCAGCACTGGGAGGCTGAAGCAGGTGGATCTTGAGTTCAAGACTATTCTGGGCTATCTAAGAAGAACTTGTTTCAAAACAAAAACAAAACAACAGAAAACTAACAAAATCCAACTTATTCTACTCTTTTACAAGTATGCAATTAAGTCTAATTTTATTTTATTTTTTGTCAGTTGTAAGGCTTGAACTCTGGCCTGGGCACTGCCCCTCAGTTCTTCAGCTCAAGGTTAGTGTTCTACCACTTGAGCCACAGCACCACTTCCAGCTTTTTCTGCTTATGTGGTGGTGAGGAATCAAAGCCAGGACCTCATGCATATGAGATAAGCACTCTACTACTGAGCCACCTTCCCAGCCCAGAGTAAGTCTGATTTTAAAACAAACTTAAACCAAACAACAGTAGTCATTACATCCCATCCAGTTCTAGAACTCTTCCTGTTTTTTCTATTTTATTTTTTGGTGCTGGGAACTGAACCTACAGCCTCACGTACGTGAGTCAAGTGCTCTTAAGCCTAAATGATACTGCTTACACCTAAATTTGCTCATCTTTTCTTCTGTGTGCTGAGGATCAAATCTATGGTAGGTAAATGCTCTACCACTGAGTTTTACATGCAGCCCCTCTGTCCATGTCATAGTTTGTATGCTGAGTACAATAATTCCAAAAGTAAACATATCTCCTCTGGTTAAGGAATTGAAATTTCTGGACTAAAAATGGACCAAAATATCTTAAAATGAGATACTTCCTTCAAGAACCATAATCACTACTTCTGTTACATTAGATATAATACTTGTGATAAATCAATGACAGGTCAGTTATAAATCCATAGAACAAAGATTAAAAAAAAATACATCAGCTGGGAAAGTGGCTCAGTGGTAGAGTGCTTGCCTCGCATGCTTGAGGCCCTGGATTAGTTTCCTCAGCACCAAATAAGCAGAAAAAGCCGGAAGTGGTGCTGTTGCTCAAGTGGTTCAAGTGGTAGAGCACAGGCTGGCTTTGAACCATGATCCTCAGATCTCAGCCTCTAGAGTAGATAGCATTATAGGTGTGAGCCATGGGTACCCAGCTTATTACTTGTCTTTCTAACTTGGATCCTATATTTCTATTCTCATTAGCTCTTGGGACAAAAAGCTGGACAACGTAAAATCAATTTAAGGAAAGTAAGTGATGCCAAAGGAAAAAATAAAATCTGGAAAGAAATTATCCAAAATATTAGCGATGATAGCGTGATGAGTGATTTCTATTTAATGCTTGTTATTTTTTTCTCATTTTCTTGAGATGAAGATCTGAGGGACAGTGCCCAGGCCCAGAGTTCAAGCCCCATGACCAACAAAAAAATAATAATAAAAAAACCCTAAAATACTACATCCCTGACAACTCTTACCTCTTCTCCTATGATGGTTAGTTTAGGGAATTTCCGTGCCAGTGAAGAGCATATACTCATTTGTACCAATCGGTCAGCTTTGGTCTGCAGGTCTGTTGCAGAGGTCTGTAACGAAGAATATAAATCCTGATTTCTAAATGCACAAACGTCTATCTCTTTTACATTACACTTAGTTTTTAGATTCACAGAACATAAAGTAAAATAGGAATAGGATAATAAACTGAATTATAATAAAATTTAATACATAAACCACCTATGGCACTCTACTCAATCTACATTCAGGTAGTCAGAAAGACAATGGACAGTTTTGCAAATGATACCATAACTTTCCTGGAAGACCAGCAACTATATCAGGTGAGCCAGACTCTCTGCTTGCAAATCACTCTTATGCTGCACTGACTTTTGCAGGCTATCTCAAGGAAAGCGTTATTTTGCTAAATGCTAACTTCACAAAAGAGCTTACTCTCTAAATAACTATGCCTCTTTACACAGTAGTGCTCCATAAATATGTTATATAAAACTTATTTTAAATTGAAACAAGTTGTTGACCTTAAAGATGAATTACCAGTCACCTTTGAAGACTACCTCTGTGTGTTTGAGTGTGTGTGTGTGTAGATACATTGGTAGCTATTCATTTAATTACATGAGGAACACTATCCCAACTCCTTTCTTCTCTAAGACACAGATGTCCTTTTCCTTATATCAACTTAGTATTAGAGTTCATTATTTTGGAAACCTTGTGCAGCAATCTGATTTTTCTGTTTTCTTTAAAATAAGGTTATTAACAGAATAGATACTGGAAGTGCTTAGCCAATAGAGAGGACAAGTATAATATTGCCTTCCATCCTTCCTTCCTTCCTTTCTTCCTTCCTTTCTTTTTTTAATTGGCTGTGGGGATTCTGGTTTTCTGGTGGTTTGTTGGAGATAAGCTTCTCAAGGACTTTCCTGCCCAGGCTGGCTTTGGACCATGATCCTCAGATCTCAGCCTCCGGAGTAGCTAGCATTACAGGTATAAGCTATAGGCACCTGGCTTATTACTTGTCTTTCTAACTTGGACTCTGTATTTCTATTCTCATTAGCTCTTTGGGCCACAAAGCTGGACAACATAAAATCAATTTAAGGAAAGTAAGTGATGCCAAAGGAAAAAATAAAATATGGAAAGGAATTATCCAAAATATTAACAATGGTAAGTGTGATGAGTGATTTCTGATTTCTATTTAATGCTTGTTATTTTTTTCTCATTTTCTGATTTTTCAGGAAAGGAAAAATTTTACAAAAAGAAAAGACAGTGTAGGGAGTGCAGCTGTGGCCCCGCACCAGGAAAAGGCAGCAAGATTAGCAGCATTCTGAAAGCAGCTGTACTGCCTTACATGTGTCAGTGGAAACTTGTCTTTTCAAATAGATTTTAAGATCTATCCCATATTATGGAACATAAATATAGGGCTTTATATAATTATTCCTGTATATTGTATTGAATTGACTCCACTTTTCTCAGATGCTGCAACTACTTTGAATACATACCCTGTGATCTGATACATTAGCTATATAGTTACATTTTATTGACAAACTTGTTAAATGTGTTTTCTTTACTTTTTTCCCTCTTTTTCTTTCCTTCCCGTTCTCTTTTTCTCAAACTAATCTCACAAGAGCATGTCAGCTAAAACAGGAATAATTTTGAAAACAGAGAGTCAGTAACCAAAAAATGTGGTAGGAAGGAAGAGTATCAGTTAACAAGAAACTGATACTAATCTTTTCAGTTACACCACTGCATGTTTTGAGAAATGCAAGAAACTCTAAAGACTTTATAGAAAGCTCTACGCTTATGGCATAATTTGCCTATCATGTTTTATTGATATACAACTTGAAAAATACAAGTGCCAAGGATACTTTATGACTGGTCAAACACATATCTAAAACAAATTCATCTTTTAACCTAGTTTATGGTATCTCTTTTGCTGATCCTATACTAGCATTTTAACTCTGTGTATTGTTTTAGAAGCTTTCATTATTAACCATTTAAACCCTTAAAACCAAATTGTCTTTAGCTTTTTCTAAAAAAAGATAGTCTTCTTGTTGCTTTTTTTCCCCCCAGCATTATAAAAGGGAATCCTGTTTGTTTTTACATCTCTGTACTGATGTAGCCTTGAGTCTAGCCTTTGGTCAGAGGCATATCATATAAAGATCTTGGAAAAAGTGTGGAGTCATTTTCCTTCTCCTCCCTCTCCTCTCTTTTTCTTTCCCTGGCAGAGCCCATGCTTGCCAGTTAACCTATACTCCCAGTCCTGAAGTCATTTGCAAAGCAGATACAAAGCTCATTGAACTAAAGATCTTGCAATCTCCAACAGGGAGCTATTCTTCTAACTATTTTTTTTTGTCGGCCAGGGGGCTTGAACTCTGGGCCTGGGCGCTGTCCCTCAGCTCTTCAGCTCAAGGCGAGCGCTCTACCACTTGAGCTACAGTGCCACTTCCAGTTTTCTGGTGGTTTATTGGAGATAGGAGTCTCACAGTCTCTCCTGCCCGGGCTGGCTTTGAACCGCGATCCTCAGATCTCAACCTCCTGAGTAGCTAGGATTACAGGCGTGAGCCACCAGCGCCCGGCTATTCTTCTAACTATTATTAATGTTTATCCAAACTATAAAATCCTTTATGCAAACTTCAAAGAATAGAATTCAGGCTGTTAGGAAATGAAATGAGAGTAGCAGCACCTTCTCCACAATACCCAGGTCTCCTTCAGCAATGACTCGTCTGACTATCATTCCCGCCTTTTGAGCAATGGCATATGATGAAGCCACCAACCGCATCAGCACAGTATGACTGGATGCCATGATCAGTTCTGAAAAGAAATCAAGAAAAATATCACATTACTTTATGTTTTTGGTTATGGGGCTTGAACTTTGGGCCTGAGTGCCGTCCCTCAGCTCTTCAGCTCAAGGCTAGTGCTCTACCACTTGAGCCACAGCGCCACTTCCAGTGGTTTATTGGAGATAAGAGTCTCATGGACTTTCCTGCCCAGGCTGGCTTTGAACTGCAGTCCTCAGATCTCAGCCGCTTGAGTAGCTAGGATTATACGCATTAGCCATTGGCGCCCAGCTCACATACTTTAAAAGCCTAATTAATAGTACCATTTATGTGAACCCAGTTCAACAGATAATTATTGAATACTTACTTGGGACTATCACAATTAACTGAGTAAAATAATTATTTATTAAGAGCTTATTTATTCTACTCAGTAAACAGAATAAATATGCAGTAAAGGAGACTTGGAAAAACTCCATTTCAGTATTAACTCTCTCAACAAATCCTATAACATTTTTCTTCTCATAGATGGGAAATTTCAAAGTACAAGTAAAACCACACCAGGCCGCTTAGCACAGGAAAGTTTTGTGTGTATGGTATGTAATGTGCTGTGAAAGATGCTTCAGGGCTTAAAGTATAATACTTTGAGAAATTAATATTGGTGAGTTCTAGGTAAGGTAACATAAAAGTAAATATAATCCAGTGGTAGGGGTACATACCTGTAATTACAGCACTTATGGGATAGAGATAGGCATACTGAGTTTGAGGTCAGCGGGGGTTACATAGGGAAACCTTATTACAAACAACAAAGAAACAATCCCACAACAAGAAATATACAAAACTGCTAAGTACTAGAGAAGTATGAATAGCACCAAGAATTCAAATGTATATGCACAAGAGTTTAAAAAGAAGAGGAATGAACATTGTAGCTAAATGGTAGAATGCTTACCTAATATGCACAAAACCTGTGTTTGATCCCTAGCATTGCAAAGCAAAAAAAAACAAAATGAGGTCAACTGAGGTCTTAGCTGACATCACCTCCTAACCCAATATTTCCTCTCCTTTTTGCACATGATGCCAAAAAATTTCCTAATAAACCTCTTGCACTGTATCTCTGTCTCAGCATGTTTATTGGGAACCAGTCTGAGGGAAACAAACAAAAGCAACAACAAAAAAATCCCCTCAGGTGGCTGGGTATGGGGACACTCTCCTATAATTCCAGCACTCCAGAGGCTGCAGCAGAAAGATTTTGAGTTCCAGGCCAGCATCACCAATATAGCAAAATCCTGTCTCAAAACCCAAGTAAGGAAAAACGCTCTGGCTGAAGATACAGCTCACGTACACAGTTTGTATAAAGCCCTGGGTTGAATATCCAGCATGGCAAAACAAAAACTCTTACCATGCCTAAATAAAATCAGGTCAACATTATTTCACCACAATAAGGTAACATATTATCTTCTCTGTATAAAGACTATATTATACATAAAAAATACTATATACTTCAATTTACAACCTCTATTACCAATTTCTGACTATATGACATGCCTTTTAACCTTTTTAGCATTTCTTTCTATTGCCCATGCTCTAAAAGAATTAAGAAAACAACTGAAACAGTAAATAAGCCAAGTGTTTGAAGGTCTTCAAAAGATGGAACTGAAATTGGTGTACAGTAATATGTAGTACCACAATGTGACCAGTAGCTGACTGGAATTAAGATAAAAATAAAATGGAGGAGCTGGGAAGGTGGCTCAGTGGTAAGAGTGCTTGCCTTGCATGCATGTGGCCCTGGGTTTGATTCCTCAGCACCACATAAGCAGACAAAGCCGAAGTGGCACTGTGGCTCAAGTGGTAGGGTGCTAACCTTGAGCTGAAAAGCTGAGGGACAGTGCCCAGGCCCAGAGTTCAGGTGCCATGACCAACAAAAATAAATGAATAAATAAAAATGGACTTCTTAATAATATTTAAATTGTTTATCTTATGTCATAATCAGGCTAGATCATTGTTTTCTCATTCTTTTTGGTACTGGGGATTGAATACAAGGCTTTGCTCATGGTATAAGCAAACATTTACCACTTGAGTCCTATTCCTCTCCTCCAGCTACATTAATTTTCTTGACATACTGGGTATTGGGTGTTACACATGTAACAAAGTACTTACGGTCATTGCTAATTAAGTACTTACGGTCATTGCTAATTAAGTAACACCACAAATAGAATACAGGAGTAATAGCTTGACATTTTTTTCACATAATTTTTTTTGGGGGGTCCGGTCATGGGGCCTGAACTCTGGGCCTGGGCACTGTCCCTCAACTCTTCAGCTCAAGGCAAGTGCTATTCCACTTGAGCCACAGCGCCACTTCCGGCTTTTTTCTTTTTGCTTATGTGGTGCTGAGGAATTGAACCCAGCGCCTCATGCATGCAAGGCAAGCGCTTTACCACTAAACCACATTCCCAGCCCTCACATGATTTTTTTTATGGCTGGTGCTTTATCACTTGAGCAATGCCTACAACATGGCTTTTAGCTGGTTATTTTGGAGGTTGAGTCTTGAGGACTTTTCTGCCTGAGCTGGATTTGAATTCTGATCCTTTATATCTCAGTCTCTTAAGTAGCTAGGATTAAAGGGCTTGAGCCAGCAACACTGGGCTTAATGGACACTTTGACTCCTTTATGTCCATAACCAGCCATGTATCTGGCAACTATTTTGTTCTATCCAGACACTCACTCAAACCACCTGCCCCATGCTAGGGATCAAAACCAGGATATTGTAAATGCCAGGTAAGCGCTCTACCACTTAGCTACATCCCGGATCCAGAAAAAGTATTAAACACAAAGAACACTTTAAGGTGTTGGCATGCTCATTTGAGTTTCTGTGGTATATAAGACTTGTTTTGTGACAGGAAGATTATTTTCCTTCACGGTGTTAAAACTTTTGCACAGGTATCAGTTACCTTTGAGCTAATTAAGCAATCATTTGAGCTTTGTGAGGCTCAGGAATGAGTAAGCCACTTCCTGCTCCTAAGCCTGCTACATCCCTGGTGCTTTCTACTTCCAAAGAAAATCTTTCAGGTACTCTGCCTATGACTTTCCTCACAACCTGTATCCTACATTTCCAAACTAGAACATCCACTAATAAGGAACATGAACAAACGAGGTTAGATGTAAAGGAGAGAAACGATTTATAAAGAGATTACACAAATCACTTGTAGTTGGCAAATAAGGAAATATTTCTACCATTTCTTTCTGAAGTATGTACTTTTCTGGTCCACTCTGAATTAGTTATGAAATGTCACTGTCTCCTGGACCTAAGAGATTTGCTAATTTTTTTTTTTGCTTAACAAATAGATTTAAGTTTGTTCTTAATATAAAGAAAATGTAGTTAATGATATTATCCAAACACAAAATCTGCCAGACATTCTTATTAACCTTTCCAATATTGTCCCTTCCCAGGTCCCAAAGGAGAATGACTTACCTTCCAATGTTCCAGCGGACTAAGAACAACACAAGCTACAGGTGTGTTAACTTCCTCTTACTTGGAGGCAGTTCAAGTAACACTCTAGGTACTTCCTTTTCTATCTTGTTTACACCTTCTGGGTCCTAAAATACTACCATTCATGAACTGCACCATTGGCAGCAGCTAGAGGGGTCCAGCTAACAAAGAAGGTGAATGGGGATGAATATGGTCTGTGCTGTTTAATTGCACACATGAAAGTAGAAAGATGAAACCTCTTGAAATTGTTTTAAGAAGCAGGGAAGGTGAAGATTAATCGGGAGATTGGGGAGTACTTGAACAGGATCCATAGCTTACATGTGAAGAAATGTAACAATGATCCCTCCTTGAACAATTAATGTATGGTACTAAAAAAACAAGCAGCCCTGTACTAGAGGCTCATGCCTACAATCCTAGCTACTGAGGAGGCTGAGATCTAAGGATTGTGGTTCAAAGCCAGCCAGGGCAGCAAAGTCCATTGAGACTCTTATCTCTAATTAACCACTAGAAAACCAGAAGTAGTGCTGAAGAGCTCAGGGACTACGCCCAGACCCAGAGTTCAAACTCCATGACTGACAAAGCAAACAAACAACAACAACAAAAAAAAAACCTTCAAAAAAACAAAAATCCTACAGCGCAGTGATCACCAGTAGTCTACTAGCGATTAACCACTATCTTTGTTTCAATCCTGGTTCTAGCATATAATAGCCCTGTAACCTTGAGAAAATGGCCTGAATTCTGTGCCTGAACTTGTAATGGCAATTGATAATAGAGCCTCTTAAGTGAACATATAAAACACCTGACTCTATAACCATGAAATAATACTAGCTGCCAATATTAAAATGATTGTAATTTTTTAAAAGATCAGTATTAGCATACATTAGTTGTAAGCCTTTCAATGTCATTTCCATACACACATACACACAATGTACCCTTGATTAAACTTATCACCTTCACCTCTCTCCTTCCATTTCCACTCCTCCTTCCTTCTTTCTTCCTTTCTTTCTCTCTTTCTTTCTTTTTTTCTTTTCTTTTTTTTTTGTCAGTTGTGAGGTCTGAACTCTGGGCCTGGGCACTGTTGCTCAGCTCTTCAGCTCAAGGCTAGCACTTGAGCCATAGTACCACTTCTGGCCTTTTCTGCTTATGAGGTGCTGAGGAATCGAACCCAGGGCTTCATGCATGCAAGGCAAGCACTCTACCAGTGAGCCATCTTGCCAGCCCCTCCACTCCTCCTTTCTTAAGACAATTTTAACAGGTTTCATTGTTTTATTTTCATATGTGAATACAAAGTTGCATAGTCAGATTCACCTCATTCACCCTCTCCCTTGGCCATGTTCCCCTCTCCCACTAGTACCTGTCCTCCAAAATAGCCTATTATATTTTCTTGTGATTCATTTTTCCTCAGGGTATATTAATTAGAGAGATTTACCATGGAAATTTACACATGCATACATAGTAATTTGGTCAGACTAACCTCATCTATTGTTTCCCAGTCCTCCTTACCCCATTATTGTTTAACAGCTCTCAGTGAGTTTCCTTATGCTATCTTTCTACCTACACACCATGTGTTTCAATATTATTTATCCTTCATCATTCTCTCTCTTTCTGTTCCTCCTGGCAATCCCAGACAGTCCCACAGTTACTTACATGTTCACTTTATACACATATATGATGCATATGGGTTTGCATATGTATTTATGTGTGCACACATGTGTATATGTGTGTGTGTGTGTGTGTATATATATATATATTTTTTAAAGGCTTGATTTCATATGTGAGCAAAAAGGTGATACTTGGCTTTCCTGAACTTGGTTTATCTAGTTTAACATGTCTCTAACTATATCTGCTTCCCTATAAAGCCCCACGACCGACCAAAAAAAAAATGATTGGTATTTCTGAATATCCTGCAAGGACAAAGGAGAATGGTAAGGAAAAGAGTTACTATATCTTCTGGAAAGGTATTTACTATATATTCTGGAAAGGTATTTTGACCATAAGTATGTAACAGGATAACCAATATGACCCTGAATCATAGGCCAAGTTATTTCTCAATATTCTGGGCTGAAAGCTTGGGAGTAAATATGGGAAGAAAAAAGATTATACAACTCACAAGGCAATTAACCTAACCTTCATCCATTCAAAGAATTTTTTTACAACTGCCAGAGGACTAGTGCAGAATGAAATAAGAGGAATTAAATTACCAACTTCTCATAGCCTTGAAGAGGTAGCTATAGTGAGTCCTTCAACAGCTCAGTTGGTAGAGCAGAGGACTGTAGTGGAAGAGGTATCTATAATTCAATATGAAGATGGTAAGCATATGAGGATAAGGATATAAAAATGTCAGACATGTTCCCAACCAAAACACTAAAATCATTTGGAACATGGCCAAATAATGCTGAAGTTCAAGGGCATCAGGAAAAATAAAAAAATGTGAGCATGACAGAGCCAATTCTGAAAAATGAAAAATAATAGAGATATTTCCTGTGCTCTTTATCAAAATATGATGTAAAACTTTAGCTAGAGATTTTTGGTTAAAGAGACAAAGAACTAGAATCACATAAATATAAATACATTACCTCCCACTTCTGGCTTTTTGGATGGTTAATTGGAAATGATTCCTCCCAGGGCTGGCTTTAAATTTTGATCCTCATATCACAGCCTCCTAAGACTACAGGCCAGTTGACTTTCGGTCAACAAAACTCAATGGTGTGATGGTACATGCCTATAATCCCAGTACTGGGGAGACAGAAACAGGAGGATCTCTAGTTTCAGGCTATGATGGGCTACAAACTTATCTCAAAACAAAAAAGAAGTGCGCGCGCACACGCACGCGCACAAAACCAGGTCAACAGATGAATTTTAATTAAAAGAATAAAACTATAAAAGTATAAGGATGCTTTATAAAATTGAAAGGGCTTTAAAACACAAAACTAAGAGTTCATTAAAATGTACTGATAAGTTTACACAGAAGCTAAAACTACATACACAAAATGCCATAAGCAAAAAAAATGGAAAATTTATTTTTTAATCCATTATATACTAAACAAATGACTAATTTGTAAAAGTCTCCAATGTATCAATATGTAAAAATAATACAATAGTAAAATGAACCAAGGAAATGTTCAACCTTACTGATTATTAAAGAAAGCAAACTAAACCAGAAAGGGCAAACGGCCAGCATAGGTAAGAAGAGGAGCCTGTTTATGAGCACTTTTCCACAGGTGCAAAGGGGAAACCTCTTAGAAGGGCTTGTAGCAACTTAATAAAAGAATTACACATATATGTATATATATGTGTATATATATATATACATATGCGCATATATATATAGTAGTTAGGTTTCCAGGAAAACTCAAATCATGCTGACCAACAAATTGAGAAATGGTAACCTAAAGAATATTTGCTATTACTACTAATCCTAGCTTCTCAAGAGGCTGAGCTCTCATAATTGCTGCTTGAAGCCAGCCAGAGCAGGAAAATCTGTGAGACTTAATCTCCAATAAAAACTACTCAGAAAAAGCTGGAAGTGGCACTGTTGCTCAAAGAGCGCTAGTCTTGACCACAGAGACTCAGGAACGGCGCCCAGGCCCTGAGTTCAAGCCTCAGGACCGACAAAAAAAAAAAAAAAACCAGATTGTTTTCTATTTTGAATTTAGTGCTAGGATTAAATTTTTCTAAGTTTGGGTGAAATAAGTTCAAGTCTAGTTTTGTTTTGTTGCTTTTACAATAAAGCAAAAACACTCAGGAGCATAAAATAAACAACTAAAATGTGAGCAGTGAAAAGTCTAAGGCTGACAAATATCTCACATTGTCTGTCATACTCAGAATCTAGATTTAAAAGACATGAAAGCAAAAGTGGGTCTATTTGGGAAAAGGAAAAGAATCTGGAAGGATGAGGAAGGGGACAAGAGAGTAATGGGGGGATCCATGTAGCCAAAATATTAATATCATAATGAAATCTATTTTGTATAATTAATAAACAAAAAGGGGTGGGGGGGCCAGGCGCCGGTGGCTCACGCCTGTCATCCTAGCTACTCAGGAGGCTGAGATCTGAGGATCACGGTTCAAAGCCAGCCCAGGCAGGAAAGTCCTTGAGACTCTGATCTCAGACCACCACAAAACCGGAAGTGGTGCTGTGGCTCAAGCGGTAGAGCGCTTGCCTTGAGCTTTAGAGCGCAGGGTCGGCGCCCAAGCCCCGAGTTCAAGCCCCACAGCCGACACACACACACAAAAACCCTATAGGGGAAGATTCTAGATCTGAGATTGAACTATTTGGAGAGTCAATCTAACCTATTAAAAAACATAAATCCCTTGAATCTCATCCGTGAAGGGGGGTTGATAGGGATCATGGCCCTGCCCTGACACGGCCGAGAGAAACTCACAGTGACTAAATCTGCGACGACGTCAGGAGACAGGCCCTCGGGGGTTAGGAAACCCGCGTTGTGAAGCCTCTGGTCCCTCGTGGCGCCCAGTACCGCTTTTCCAGGAGTCAATAGGTCAGAAGCGGACGTAGGGCAAAGCCGCCTCAGCTACTGAGCATGCTCCAACTGCGGCGCAAGCGCACCACAGCTTCGTCGAGCTTTTCCCTGCAAACTCCCAGCCGGCCCGAAAACTCCACTTCCCCGGGTTTTAGGCAAGCTTCCCGTAGGCACACGCCTCTGAAGGCCCGGCTCTCCCTTTTCCAGGCTCGGTGCAGGCTTCTGGTGCCTGGATGCGCACTTCCGTGTATTTCCGTGTAATTCCAAATTAACAGCAGTTTGGTTTTGGTTTTCAACGACTTGCCTCACTATAGTCTTCAGAACTGTCAGCTTTGTTTTCATAAGATCAACATCCCTTCTGGTCTGAAAATCCCCTGGTGTTTTTGCCAGGTTGGTCATCAGATTTGATTCCTTCCTGCGTGCTCTTGGGCAACTCCCACACTGGTAATTAGAGACAAACCGCACTGGTTGCAGTTGTGTCGTGGTTCAGGACGGTGACAAACTACATTAGGCCAAGAATTCCATCAAAGAGTACCTCCAATGTAAGAAATGAAGATACCAAATTTGAATCGAGGGAGAAGGAAGTTTTACCATTTAGCTATAAATGCCTGTTGAGTTCTTGAGACTCGAGTCCAGACAGAGATGCAATGCATATCCAATTTAGAAGACAGAATGAAAAGAACGTAAAATGCATTCTTGTTTTTTGTTGTTGTTTTTTGTGGGGCATGAACTCAGCCTGGGCGCTGTCTGTGAACTCTAGGCTCAAGGCTAGCACCCTACTACTTGAGCCACAGTGCCACTTCCCGTTTTCTGGTGGGTAATTGGAGATAAGAGTCTCACAGACTTTCCTGCTCTGGCTGGCTTTGAACTATTATATTCAGATCTTAGCCTCCTGATTAGCTAGAATGACAGGCATGAGCCACCGGAGCTGGCCTGTGTGTGTGTGTGTGTGTGTGTGTGTGTGTGGACAGTGCGAGGAATCTAGGAATCAAACTGAGCTTCTGGTACCTGCTAGGCAAGCATTCTACCACTGAGCTGCATCCCCATGCCTAAACTGTCATTTGAGTCCTAAAAACTTCAATTTTTTCTTTTTTGGAGGGAGGGCAGGCTAGTTACTTAATTGCAAACCTCCTGCTTCACTAGCATGCCTGGCTATATATACATTTTTAAATTAATTATGATATCATAGAAGTAATACCATGGACATATTGAATATTTCCATATTTGTTTATTTTTATTTTGGTTTATTTTTTGTCGGTCTGAGGCTTTAACTCTGGGCCTGGGCGCTGTCCCTCAGCTCTTCAGCTCAAAGCAAGCGCTCTACCACTTGAGCCACAGCACCACTTCAGGTTTTCTGGTGGTTAATTGGAGATCAGACTCTCACGGACTTTCCTGCCCGGGCTGGCTTTGAACAGCCATCCTCAGATCGCAGCCTCCTGAGTAGCTTGGATTACAGGTGTGAACTACACGCCCCCGGCTCAATATTTCCATATTTAAAAGCAAGGCACTCTGATTAGAAGTGGGGGGGGGCTGGGGAACCACCCTTGCCCCGCCCCTTGGAGCCGCCACGCCCCCCCTCGGCCGCAACAAAGACCCGGATTAGACTTTACTTGGCTGACTCGGGGAGTCAGCGCAGCCAGCTCCCGGCCCGCCCTTGCAGCCCCGTGCGCCTGCGCACGGCGGGGCGTCTGGCCCAGGCTCTGGGGAGGGGGAGGGTCCTCTGCCTTCAGACCCGCGGTGGGAGCCCGGAGGAGCCCCGCATTCGGGGGTGAGGGGGTGCGGCCTGCCCTGCCCGGCCATGCGTTGGGGGCTGTACCCGCGCGGGCCGGGGGCTGCGGCTCTGGCCGCGGCCGGGAGGTTGTGGGGCCCGCCTCGCTTCCCGTGTCGCCTGGGGTGGCTGGGGACGACGCGGAGGCTTCTGGTGCGCCCGGTCACCGGCGCCAATAACCAGCTGACCAGCCCGAACAGCAGCAAATACCGGGACACGGTGCTGCTGCCGCAGACCGGCTTCCCCATGAAGCTGCTGGGCCGCCAGCAGCCGGACACGGAGCTGGAGATCCAGCAGGTACCGGCGGCGTGGGGCCCGCGGGAGCCACACCGGGAGCGCGGGCTGCGCGCCGGGCCGGAGTCACCGGGCTCCCGCCGGCTTTATCCCGGGCGGGGCCGCTTCCCCCGCGGGGCCTCCGGGAGCCGGGGTGCCCCTTTGCGCGTCTGCGGAGCGTCCCCCCGTTTCCTGCACGGGCCGTGCAGATCAACTTCGGAGGGAGGGGCTCCCGGCAGTAGTCCAAACGAACCGTGGTGAACGCGGTGGAGTGTAAGCGAAGCGCGAAGCCCACCCTTGACTGCCCGAGGACACGGCAGCGGCGCTTCGAGGCACTGTAGGCTAAGCGTCCGTCTCCTGCTTAGACTGAAGTTACTGAGGGAGAGGTCGAGTTTTTAGCTTCTGTAATGCCTGATCATCTGGCATTCTGGTATGCTTTAGCCTAGTCTTAGGACAGTTCACAATCCTAAGTTTCCTTTATGACCTTTTTTTTTTTTTCCTTCTGTGCTGGGGATCAAACCCAAGGTGACATTCCAGATAGATAGATAGATAGATATCTTCTGTGTTGGCGGGATTGAACTCAGGGCCCTTTGCTTTCCCTTTTTGTGCAAGGCTGATGCTCTACCATTTGAGCCATACATCTATTTCATCTTTTTTGCTTGTTAATTGGAGATTAGATTCTCCAAGATTTGTCTGCCCCCTGACTTGGAGCCATCATTCTCAGAGCTCAGCCTGGAGTAGCTAGGCTCCTAGCGTTCTGATAGACAGCTTGATAGATAGGCACTCTACCATGCAGCTGTACCCCTGCCCAGTTCTTTGTTTTTGTTTGTTTTTTTCCTAATTCTTGTTTAAGGTATTTTTATCTAGTGCCATCTATATACCAAAAAGTATGACCATTTGTGATGTTCTCTCAGTTAATCTTTACACTACCCTATAGATAGATATTGTAACTTTTTTTCAGATGAAACAAGTCTTATGTGACTTGGCCAGCCCCATCAAGGTAGGAAAGGGGTGTAGGACTTTAGTGTGTTGATCAAGATTTAGGGAGTAGCAAGTATTGAGACCAAAGAATAACAAGAATGGGATGTGGGAGGTACATGTCCTATAGCCCTGCTAGATTGAAGAGTGAGGGAGTGCTGATACGCTGTCCAAGAATTGAACAGTACTGTTAAGCTTTGTAAAGTGTGTGTCTTACTGAGTTTAGGATTTAATCTGAAGTCTGCAGGGAAAACACTGAAAAGTTCTAAGAGAGTCATCAGGTGTGCATTTCAGAAACTTAAACCATTTATATTTTAGAAACAAATAGATTTGGATGAGGTAAGAATTAAGCATGTAATAGCTGCTATTCTGTTGTACGTATTTTTATGATGTTTAGACATTTTTTGTTTGTTTTAACAGAAATGTGGGTTTTCAGAACTTTACTCATGGCAAAGAGAAAGAAAAGTTAAGAAAGAATTTTGTCTACATGATGGACCTCCTTATGCAAATGGTGACCCTCATGTTGGACATGCTTTAAATAAGGTAATGATAATTTAGATTATGAAATTGGAAGGAAAATATTGTTTAAATACTTCACACAAAAGAGCATATTATAATTATGTAAATTTATATTGGTATATAAACTAAAAAGGTTCGGGGGGTATTTCTCTCTTCCATTTCTTTGCTGAGACTTTTGTTCTTTGCCCATGATTGCTACTTTTTCATATATTTCACATATTCTTATTATGCCGGGTGCCTAGCTAGTGTAGAGGTTGAGATCTGAGGATTGTGGTTCAAAGCCAGCCCGGGCACGAAAGTCCGGAAGACTTATCTCCAATAAACAACCATTCAGAAAACCAGAAGTGGCTCTGTGGCTTAAATGAAAGAGTGCTAGCTTTGAGCTGAAGAGCTAAGGGACAGCGCCCAGGCCCAGAGTTCAAGCCCCACCACCAACAACAACAAAGAAAAGAATATTCTTATTATGCCTGCTTTAAAATCTTTATCGGGTAAGTCTAATACTTCTAGCATCTCAGAGTTGGTTATCTATTATCATTTTCCTTTAGTGTAAAATCTTCCTGACTCTTGATATGAGTGACTAGATTTTTGGTGTTTGTTTTGTGCCAATCCTAAAGCTTGAACTCAGGGCCTGTGGGCTGTCCCTGAGCTTGTTTGCTCGAGACTAGCTCTCTACCACTTGAGCCACAGCTCCACTCCCAGCTTTTTGGTGATTAATTGGAAATGAGAATCTCATGAAATTTCCTGCCTGAGCTGGCTTCAACTATTATCCTTAGATCTCAGACTTCCAGAATAGCTAGGATTACAGATGTGAACCACAAGCACCCAGCTTGTTGTTCTAATAGCATCCTGTGAATAGCTATGTTAACTGATGTGTGGTTTTATTTCCTTTATCAGACTTTTTGAGTCCTTAAGTACAAGGATCATGTTGTAGTCATCACTTTGTTCATTACCAGTGTGGTGCTTCAGATTTTAAAAACTCACATATTTGTTACCTCTGTGTTTATGTAGCATTTGTATTAGACTTAATAGTTTATCTTATATGTTCTTTTAAAATTGGACTTTATTTTTATTTTTTTGTCGGTTGTGTGGCTTGAAGTCAGGGCTTGGGCACTGCCCCTGAGCTCTTTTGCTCAAGGCTAGCACTCTACCACATGGAACCACAGCACCACTTCTAGTTTTTTGGTGGCTAATTGGAGATGAGAGTCTCACAGACTTTCCTACCCAAGCTGGCTTTAGATCTCAGCCTTCTGATTAGCTAGGATTACAGGCATGAGCCACCAGTGTTCTGCTGGACTTTATTTTAAAATGTTTTTGCATTATAAGCCACATGCTTTCTATGTGGATGTTGATTGTCATTTGATCTTTGCAGATTTTGAAAGACATAGCCAATCGATTTCACATGATGAGAGGCTCTAAAATCCATTTTGTGCCTGGTTGGGATTGCCATGGTTTGCCCATTGAACTAAAAATACTATCAGAACTTGGTGGAAAAGCTCAAAATCTTTCAGCTATGGAAATTAGAGAAAAAGGTAAATAATCTCTGTTTGTTCTTTTAAAATGATTTAGTACATGCTTAAGTCCCTTGGAAAAGTCAGGATTTTACCAAGAAGGACTTTTGTTTTGGTTTGCTGTAATGAGATCTGTTGGGAACTATTACATGTTAGAGGAAACAGTATCTTCCAATTGATTCTCTTGAGCATTTCTGTTTAGGGACTGAAGGTGAAACCTTGTGAACCTATCCATTGCAACCCTTCAGTTGTGTTATTACAACTTACTTTAGGTTTCATTTTACTATAGAGAGCTTGGTGTCTCATCTCACGTTCTGAATCACAAGTCACTTTTAAGATACATGGATTACAAAAAAATCAAACTATTATTGTTTTTTTGTGCCAATCTTGGAACTTGAACTGTTGGCCTGGGTGATGTCCCTGAGCCTTTTTGCTCAAGTCTAGTGCTCTGTCACATGAACCACAGCTCTACTTCTAGCTTTTCTTAGTGGCTAATTGGAGATAAGCCTCCTGCCTGGACTGGCTTTGAACCTTGATCCTCAGATCTCAGCCTCCTGAGTAATTAGGTTTATAGGTATGAACCAGCGGTGTCCAGCCTCAACCAAAAATTTTAAAGTGTATTACAACCATAAAATAAAATACATGTATTTTAAAGCTGGGCATTATGGTACATACTTGTACTCCTAGCATTCCTGGAGTCTAACTCAGAATTGTGGGTATGAGGCCACCTGAGTGTCACGGGGAGATTCTTGCCTCAGAAAAAAACAACCAATCAACCAAATTACAAGAACTCATTTTTAAAAATTAATAGCTTATTTTATCCGTGATCCTTTCTTTCAGTAGATTTGGCTAGAAAGGAAGCTTTCTTGTCTACTGTATGTATTTGGATATGATAATAAAGATTTTTCTTTATGTGCATGCTGGTACTAGGACTTGAACTCAAGGCCTCACACTCTGTCCAGGCTTTTTTCACTCATAGCTGATGCTCTACCATCTGAGCCATACATCCAGGTCTGATGGTTTGCTATTTAATTAGAGATAAGAGTATCCTGAATTTGTTCCCTGGGATTTGCTCTGCACTGTAATGTCCAGATCTTATCCTCCTAATTAGCTAGGATTATCATTGTGATTATGTGCCCCTGTAATATCAGTACATAGGGAATTTCAGGCCAGCCTGGGCTTCATCATGAGATCATATTGCAAAAAACTGTACACACATGGGCTGGGAAGAGCGCTTGCCTTGCATGCATGAGGCCCTGGGTTCGATTCCTCAGCACCACATAAGCAGAAAAAAAAAAGCCAGAAGTGGCGCTGTGGCTCAAGTGGTAGAGTGCTAGCCTTGAGCTGAAGAGCTGAGAGACAGTGCCCAGGCCCAGAGTTCAGGCCCCACGACCAGACCCAAAAAAAAAGCTGTACACACACAAAAATAATAATAATTACCCAGGCTGTAATATTAGCTACTCAGGTGGCTGAGATCTGAGGATCATGGTTCCAAGCCAGCCAGGGCAGAAAAGTCTGTGAGTCTCTTATCTCCAATAAACTATTCAGAAAAAGCTGGAAGTGGTGCTGTGGCTCAAATTTACCCTTGAGTAAAAGAAGGTCATGGACAGTACCCAGGCCCAGTTGAAGCCCTAGGAACAGGGAAAAAAAGAGAAAAAGAAAGCCCCAAGAAACATTTTTTCAAAGTTATTGGCTTTCAAAAGCCTTTCCTTTTCCTTTCTTTCTCTTTCCCTTTCTTTTTAGCTAGATCATTTGCTAAAGCGGCCATTGCAAAGCAGAAAGCAGCGTTTACCCGCTGGGGAATAATGGCGGATTGGAATAATTGCTACCACACTTTTGATAGAGAGTATGAGGCCAAACAGTTGAGAGTTTTTTACCAGATGTATGACAAGGTAATAAAATATTTCTCTTTTCTTCACCATATTAAAGTATGAATCACAAACTTTCAGCTTTATTCTAGTATTTCTGTCTTTTAGGGCTTGGTTTATCGATCTTACAAGCCTGTGTTTTGGTCTCCTTCATCAAGGTACATATGTGTTTGTTGGTAATTAAAATAGAGAGGGCTGGGAAGGTGGCTCAGTGGAAGAGTGTGAGAAATTGATGACATTTCCTTATTTATGTTTGATGTTTTTAAACCTTAGGACTGCTTTGGCTGAAGCAGAACTTGAATATAATCCTGAGCATGTCAGTCGTTCAATATATGTAAAATTCCCTCTCTTAGAACCTTCTCCTAAATTAGCACCACTTACAGGTAAGGTTTATTTCCTTGGATTTATTCAAACTATGAAATTGTATTATTTGCTAACAGTTGTGACGTTATTTTCACAGATGGTTCATCTCCTATTAGTGTTTTAATCTGGACCACCCAGCCATGGACAATTCCAGCAAATCAGGCCGTGTGCTATATGCCAGAAGCAAAGTAGGTATATTATTACATTTTTAGTCTACAAATAGGAATCATGCCACCATTAACATTATGTTGAACTTATTTTCTCCTTATTATCCCTTTAAAAATCGAATGAATTATAATATACTATGTTTGTATAGATTTTATTAATTCACAGATGATTCCTTTTAAGACCTAGCTTTCTTTGGAACATGAAACATAAAGTGTGGAGTGGTTTGAAAGTAGTGCTTTTTTTTTCACCAGTACTGGAGTTTGAACTCAGGGACTCAGGCTTGCTGAGCAGTCAGTCATTCTACTGCTGAGTTACACCTCCAGCCCTTCTTTTGCCCTGGTTATTTTAGAGATGGAGTCTTCTTTCCTGCCTGAGCACATGCTTGGACCACACAGTCTTCTTCCCAGAGCTGAGAAGACATGTAATATCACTGTCGAATATCTGTAATATCTGTTGAAGTGGAGACTCATGAACTTTTCTGTCCAGGCTGTCATGGAGTTACTATACTCCTGATCTCGGCCTCCTCCTTAGCTAGGAAGACCAGGTACCTACCATGGTATCCAGCCATTGGTTGAGAAGGGGTCTCATGTTAGACTGCTCTCAAACCTCTGCCCTCATCTCAGCCTTCCAACTAGCTAGGATTACAAGCATTGAACCATTGGTACCTGGCTTGCAAGTAGTATTGTTTAACCTAAGTTTGTTTTTCTAAAACAATATTAAAAACTCAGGTGTTAACTGTGGCTTGTGTTTTTTTCATTGCTAGTAATTTTCTTCTCAAATTTTATGTTAGGTATGCTCTTGTGAAATGTTCTACTTCCGGAGACCTCTACATAGTGGCTGCAGATAAAGTAGCAGCTATTTCTTCTACTTTGGACACAACATTTGAGGTTATTTCAACATTTGAAGGTAAAGATTTAGGCTAGTCTGACTGTCACAGTCATTAAAATATTAGGTTGATTTGAGTTCATTACTTTGTTGAACATTCCCCTGGTAAATTGAAGCAGATTACATATAGCTTTCTCGCTTTCTAGCTTTGTACATTAGACACTATTTTACATGATTCTTTGAGGGAGAATATATGTTAATGTGTTTAAAGTATAGGAAAATATTGACAGAGGCACTAGGTATAAGATTATTTCTGGCAAAAATCTAGTAGCTACTTCATAAAATTTTATGCAGAATTGTTTGTTTGTTGGTTTTTTTCTTTTTTTTTTTTTGGTCTGGTTGTGGGGCCTGAACTCTGGGCCTGAGCACTCTCCCTCAGCTCTTCAGCTCAAGGCTAGTGCCCTACCACTTGAGCCACAGCGCCACTTCCAGCTTTTTTCTTTTTGCTTATGTGGTGCTGAGGAATCCCAGGGCCTCATGCATGCAAGGCAAGCGCTATACCACTGAGCCAACTTCCCAGCCCCTATGCAGAATTGTTAAATTGTTTTTTTTGTGTGTGTGTTTTTTGTTGGTTGTGGGGCCTGAACTCTGGGCCTGTGCACTGTCACTGAGCTCTTCAGCTCAAGGCAAGTGCTGTACCACTTGAGCCACAGTGCCACTTCCAGCTTTTTCTGCTTATGTGGTACTGAGGAATCGAACCCAGGGCCTCATGCATGCGAGACAAGCACTCTACCACTGAGCCACCTTCCCAGCCCGTGCGTGCGAGTGTGTGTGTGGGGGTGGGGGGGTGTGGGGGGGGTGTATAGGTGATGCCTTTCCTGAGCTTGAACTCAGGGCCTGGGCATTCTCCTTGAGCTTTGTTTTTCAAGGCTGGCACTCTGCCACTTGTGCTACAGTAATACTTCTGGCTTTTTGGTGGTTAACTGAAGATAAGAGCTTAATGGACTTTCCTACTTGGGTCGACTTTGAAGTGTGGTCCTCAGATCTCAGCCTCCTGAGTAGCTAGGGTTACAGACATGAGCCATTCGTGCCCGGCTGATAGAATTGTTCCTTTCTGATTTAATACAAGCTGCAAGAAAGACAATAAAGCTTATTTTTTAGTCTGTCATTTTAGTAAGAATTGAACAAATTATGTAAGTCATTCCAAAGATACAGTATTCATTCTGCCAGAAGACTTCTGTGTAAATAATTTGAAGTTTTAACATACTGACTGATTTTGAAATACTACTTTGGAAGTCTAGGAAAGTTTAAAATTATATGTGATCTTTAGTGATATATTTTTATTGCTAAAAAATGATGATATAGATTAAGGAAAGAAAAAAAAAGCCAGATGTGATAGCTCATGCCTATAATCCTAGCTGCTCAGGAGGTAGATATCAGGAACGTGATTTGAGGCAAGCACCAGGTAAAAAATTCCTGAGACCCTGTCTCAACCATTAAAGGCTGGGTTTGGCTGCTCCTTTCATCCCAGTTATGCAGAAATCGCAGTAAATAGAATCAGGGTCAAGCCAAGGCAAAAAGCTCACTAAAGCAAAAAGTGCTTGAGCATCATACAGAAAATGGAAAGACTACCTAAGTAAATGGAAAAGTCCTTTAAATTCATTTCTGATGTGAGTTTATATTTAAGTTAGAACTATAAACAAATTACGTTAGCAAAATAGTGACATCAAAAGCAAGAAAGAATTTACAGAATGTTTAAGATTGTTTTTTGTTTGTGATTTTGGAGATAGGGACTTACCTTAGTTGGCCTAGCACTGTTTAGCCCAGACCAGCTTTGAATTTGTAATCCTCCTCAGCCTCCCTGAGCACTGAGATTATAAGTGTGTACTCCATGCATGGTTGTTTTAAGAACATTTTATCTTTTTTTGTACAATAGGTTAGTTAGAGGACCTAATACTTCTTTTTTAATTCTGAGGATTGATCCCAGGGCCTAGAATGCCCCAGCATTCTAGACAAGTGCTATACCACTGAGCTACATGCTTTTTTATTTTTATTTTGAGAGAGGGTTTTGCTAAGTTGCTTAAGATAGCCTCTGTGATCCTAGGTCTCAGTTTCCTGGGATTATAGGCTTATATCTCCTGCCCTCAACCTTTATATATTCATACTCTCTCACACATACACTTTTTTAATGCAGAAGGTTATTAAAGGCTTCATCAAAAAGTTAGGGGCTAGGCTGGGAAGGTAGCTCATTGGTAGAGTGCTTGCCTTGAATGCATGAGGCCCTGGGTTCGATTCCTCAGCACCACATAAGCAGAAAAAGCCAGAAGTGGTGCTGTGGCTCAAGTGGTAGAGCGCTAACCTTGAGCTGAAGAGCTGAGGGACAGCGCCCAGGCCCAGAGGTCAGGCCCCATGACAGACAAAATTAAAAAAAAAAAAAAGTTAGGTGCTAACACAGAAACTTAAAAACCCCAAGGATTTTGGAAATGTTAAAAAATACAGATATCTGAGCTGGGAAGGTGGCTCAGTGGTAGAGCGCTTGCCTTGCATACACATGAGGCCCTGGGTTCTATTCCTCAGCACCACATAAGCAGAAAAAAAGAAGGCTGGAAGTGGCGCTGTGGCTCAAGTGGAAGAGCACTTGCCTTGAGCTGAAGAACTGAGGGACAGTGCCCAGGCCCAGAGTTCAGGCCCCACAACCGAACCCCCCGCCCCCCAAAAAAATACAGATATCTGGGGCTGGGAAGGTGGCTCAGTGGTAGAGCACTTGCCTTGCATGCATGAGGCCCAGGGTTCGATTCCTCAGTACCACATAAGCAGATTAAAAAAAAAGGAAGTGGCGCTGTGGCTCAAGTGGTAGAGCACTAGCCTTGAGCTGAAGAGCTGAGGGACAGCACCCAGGCCCAGAGTTCAGGCCCCATGACCGGACCCCAAAAAAAAATACAGATATCTTTTGTCTAGAGCACATAATTGTTTGAAATTATTACTGAACAGAGAATCGTTGTATTGTCTTAAGCTATCACATTGCAGAGTATAATTTGACCCCAGTTGTATATACTTCTCATTCCTAACAAAAGAAGCTGGTACAGTAGTAGGAATAGTGAAAATAGGATAATTTGCATGAGATAGAATTTCTTTCTAGAAAAATAGGAATTGTGTCTGATTTGTCATTAGAGATCTTTGTGGTGGGTAACAGAAGTCTCAGAGAGACTATTGGGGGGGGTAGATACAAAGAAAGTTAATACATTAAATCTGCTTTTCTCAAACCTTTAATTTTATTCTATATATATATTATTGTAAAGATACTGTACAGCGGGGTTACAGTTGCATGAGTAAGGTAATGAGTACATTTCCTATCAAGCATTGTTACTCCCTCCTTTGTTTTTCCCCTACCATCCCTTCCCTACCCACCTCCCCCCAAACCTTTAATTTTCATACGTGAAAAACCCCTAGGGAGTATAGCATAGGCTCAAAGGACTGGGCTTAATGAAAATTATAGAAAGAAATTCATATGAAAACTGGAGTAGATTTATCTAAAAACAATGGTTACCAATTTTCTTCTTTAAGATTTTATCGATTATTTGGAAAAAAAGAATTCTGCAGTATGTAGGTTTGCTAATGTCTTCCTAGGAACAAAATTGCAGGCCAGCCAAGTTGAATTACAAGGAGAGCCTGTGGTTTTCTTCACATAGGGAGGCTTTATAGCCAACAGTTATAAGGGGATGTCATTTTCTTCTCAAGCCTTTTTGCCTAGTGTTCAAGTTTCAACTAAATCTACTAAGCAATAGATTATTAAATGAAATGTCAAGATTAAAAGAATCTTTTGTTGTTGTTGCACTGAAGATTGAACCCAGGACTTCTCACATACTACACAGGTGCTTTGTTCCTTGAGCCATGCTCTAAGACCTTTTATTTCTATTGAAGATGACCTAAGGAATCTCAGTAAAAGGTGTTACCAATATTAGAATGGGAGAATGGGGAAGGATAGAGCAAGAGAGATTTATTTTGATTAAAATACAATATATGGGGCTGGGAAGGTGGCTCAGTGGTAGAGTGATTGCCTTGTATGCATGAGGCCCTGGGTTTGATTCTTCAGCACCACATAAGCAGAAAAAGCCGGAAGTGGTGCTGTGGCTCAAGTGGTAGAGCACTAACCTTGACCTGAAGAGCTGAGGGACAGCACCCAGGCCCAGAGTTCAAGCCTCATGACTGTCAAAAAAAAAGAAAAATATATACTATATATTTATATAATATATATATATGTATATATATATATGCACATCTGAAGCACATCTGAAGAGAATTTTCTTTCAAAATTTTTGGCTGTACTAGAATCTGAACTTGGGGACTATTGCTAGTCAGGCACAGTATCACTTGAGCTATGATCCCAACACTGTTTAGTTTATTTTTTATTTTTTGTCAGTCATGGGGCTTGAACAGGGCCTTCTCTCTGTCCCTGAGCTCTTTTAGCTCAAGGCAAAGTGCTTTTCCACTTTGAGCCACAGCTCTACTTCTGGTTTTCTGGTGGTTAATTGGAGATAAGAGTCTCACAGACTTTCCTGCCCCCGCTGACTTTGAACCACAATCTCAGATCTTAGCTTCCTGAGTAGCTAGGATTACAGGTATGAGCCACCAGTGCCTGGCATTACTTTAGTTATTTATTTTTTATTTATTTTTTGCCGGTCATGGGGCTTGAACTCTGGGCCTGGGTGCTGTCCCTCAGCTCTTCAGTCAAGGCAAGCGCGCTACCACTTGAGCCACAGCACCACTTCCAGCTTTTTCTGCTTATGTGGTGGGGAGGAATTGAACCCAGGGCCTCATACATGCAAGGCAAGCACTCTACCACTGAGCCACCTTCCCAGTCCCCTGAGTAGCTAGGATTACAGACATGAGCCACCAGTGCCCGGCTCTACTTTAGTTATTTTTTTTAGTCAGGTGGTGCATTTGTTGTTTTTGTTTGTTTGTTTTTGCCTATGCCATTGTAGACTACAATCCTTCTAATTATATCTCCCATGTATCTGGGCTGACAGGTATGTGCACTCCATTCCCAGTTTTTGGGTGAGATGGGAGTCTCACTAACTTTTTGCCTGGGCTGGTTGTAAGTTGCCATCTTCCTGATCTTGGTCTTCTAAATAGTTGCCATCGCAGGCATGAGCCACCTCAGTAGACCTAGATTCTGTGTTTTTAGTCTCATATTCTACTGGATATGTAGCTCAGTGGTAAAGCTCTTGCTTAATGCTTTAATTCCTAGCTTGAAAAGAAAAAGATGGTAACTTGATGCCTTCTTGCTAAGTTAAAATAGATAAAACTCTATGAAATAATTCTTAATAATGGCTTTCTTTTCCCACAGGTGTAGATTTAGAGAATGGTACTTGTAGTCATCCTTTAAATCCCGAAAAAGTCTCTCCTCTATTGCCTGCAAATCATGTGACCATGGCAAAAGGCACAGGATTGGTTCACACAGCCCCAGCACATGGTATGGAAGATTACAGTGTAGCATCTCAGCACAACCTGCCCATGGTACTAGTCCTCTTTTTTTCTTTCAGATTTTTTTTATGCTGCTGAATAAAAGCGATAAATCCTGACATTTTTATTTCTTGTTAATAATAATTTTCCCATAATAATTGTGAAATGCTTAGGTGTGTGCAATATCTTAAAAGTTCATTAATTTATACTAATTGGGAAACATGCCCCGGAATTAGCACAAAAAAAATCAGCACAAAATTAGAATTACAGAATATATCTTACACAAGGGCATTAAAAAAAATAAGTACACAGGCCTTGTTTTATTGTGCTTTGCAGATAAGTATTTTTACATATTGAAGATTTGTGGCAAAAGTGTGTTGACCAGTAAAGCAGCCCAGATGATCGTTAGTAGTTTTTTGTACTACAGTATTTTTTGCTGTTGTTGTTTTGGTTACTTGTAGGGCTTGAACTCAGGGTCTGGGTGTAGTCCCTAAGCTCTTTAGCTCAAGGCTAGCATTCTACCACTTTGGGCCCCACTGCCACTTCTGTTTTTTTTGCTGGTTAATTGGAGATGAGTCTCATAGACTTGCCTGCCCAGGCTTTCTTTGAAGCATGACCCTCAGATGTCAGCCTCCTGAATAGCTAGGATTACAGGCATGAGCCACCAGCACCTGGCTTAAAACATTTTTTATTAAGGTATGTACATTGTTTCAGACATAATTCTGTTTTAAGCTTAGTAGCAGACAGTATTGCCTCACTGTGATATTCATTCAGTTTACTGTAGTGATCTGGAGCCAAACCTACAGTATCTCTGAGGCATAAGCCTGTCACAGATACAATAAATAGCTAGTGGATTTTACTAGTTGAAAGGACAGTTTTGTTTTTTTTCTTTTTTTGCAGGGGGGGGGTGTCCGGTTGTGGGGCCTGACCTCTGGGCGCTGTCTCTCAACTCTTCAGCTCAAGGCTAGTGCTCTACCACTTGAGGCACAGTGCCATTTTTTTCATTTTGTTTATGTGGTGCTGAAGCATCGAACCCAGGGCCTCAGGCATACAAGGCAAGTGCTCTACCACTGAGCCATCTTCCCAGCCCCTGTTTTGTTCTTTTCTAACAGCACTTTCCAAATTTATTTTTGCCCACTTTGGTTACTTGGAAAGTTTTTCTCAAAAAGTGAAGAAATGGCTGGGAGCTAATGGCTCATACTTATAATCCTTTCTACTTAGAAAACTGATTCTGAAGGATCAAGTTTCAACCCCATTTTGGGTAGAAAAGTCTAGGAGATTCCATCTTCAGTTAACCACCAAAAAATAGTAGGTTACCAGCCATAATCAAGAAAGCCAAGAATCAGAGGCCCTGAGGACAGAGTTCAAACCAGTATCAGTAGATGGATGGACGGATGGATAAAGATGGATGGATAGATAGATTAAAAACTATGGCTGTAGTTGTATAAATCAGAGAGCAGATAAAGATATTTTAGTATGTTTTGCTACTCCTTGTTATTAAACCTTAGGTATATGCATCAGGAACACATTTTTCCTTTAGTGATTTAAATATTCAAAGTTTACACATTTCTACTGACCTAATAAAAAGTATTCAGGTTTTCCCGGTAGACAAAACTAAGCTGATACATTTTAAATGTGTTGTTTTATCAGCGATTGTCATATGACAGAATGTTCTGATGGCATTAATTGTTCAAAATGACACTTTGTAGGATTGTTTAGTGGATGAAGACGGAATTTTCACAGATGATGCTCATCCTGAGCTTCAAAAGAAAGCTGTACTTGAGGAGGGAACTGATGTGGGTAAGTATTGCTCCTTTTGGTAATTTAGATACATTTTCTAAGAAGCAGCCAGCAGTAACCTTTCTTGCTGTTTTCCCTTATACTTCCAACAGAAATAAAAGCTAAAACGAGTCTGTTTAGCCACATGATTTACTTATTTATTTACTTTTGGTAACACTATAGAGTTTTCACTCAGGGCCTTATACTTATGAGACATGTCCCCAGCCCTTCTTACAATTGTTATTTTTCAGATAGGGACCTTATGCAATTTGCCTGAGCAAGCCTCAGACCTCTACCTATGCAGTCTTCCCTACCTAGGCTTCCCATGTAGCCTGGGTTATAGGCATGTACCACCAGGCCCTGTTTATTTGTTGAGAATGGAATCTAGCTAATATTTTTGCCCATGCTGACCTCAAACCATGATCCTCCTAACTTATGCCTCTCAAGTAGTTAAGATTATAGGTGTAAGCCACTTCACTCTGTATTTCATTTGTTTTTTGAGGCAAGATCTGACTGTAGAGCTCAGGCTGGCCTGGAACTTGCTGCGTAGCCATGGCTGGCCTCAAATTTGCAGTCCTTCAGTCTCAGCACTCTGAAGAGCTGGGTTTATAGATATACATTCCATGTCCTGGTTACATGGTTTAAAATGGAGGTTAGGAATTTTTTATCTTTTGCTTTAGGGTGGCTTTATTCAAAAAAATCAAAACAGTCAACAGGGAGTAATATAATTTTAGGGTAACAAAGATAATAGTGACATGACTTTTGTGGGAGAATAAAAGTTTGGTGCAGGCTCCATATTGACTGAATCAGACAGTCGCTCCCTGGTGCTCCCTCTCCCACAGAACTGACCTTGTCACATGCTTTATGTTAGGGTCGTGGCTGTCCTCCATGCTGGCATTGTCTTTCTGCCTTTCTTAAGAATGTTAGGAACCCTTTCCTTGCCTACAGTAGTACTGAGGCTAATTTGACTAGGTGGATTACTTTTTCAGGGCTACTGTAACAAATTGGCAGAAATCTGAGGGCTAAAACCAGTAGAAATTCATTCTTTCACATTCTGGAGACTAGATACATATAATGAAGGTATTGGCAAAACTATTCCTCTGGAAGTCTGTGTAGGAATCGCCATTTGCTCACCCAGGGTTCTGAGGCTCCTGCAGGTGCCTGGCCTCTTCGGGTTTGTAGCTGCCAATGTACCATTCTTTGTTTCTGTTGGCTTGTGTCCTCAGCTCTCTGTCTGTTTCTGTCTCCTCTTCTTTGGAGGACAGCAGTCATTAGACTTAGGGCCCACTCTCATCCTGTGTGAGTTCTTTTTAATGTAATTCCAAAGACCCAATTAAACAAGGTTTCATTCATAGATCGAGTGTTGGTAATCTTTTTAGGTGGCATAGTTCAGTCCACCACATCTGGATTACTTCTGATATCTGGAGATCACTTTTAAGACTTATGGTATGAAAGAGTATGACTTTAAGTTGCACATTTAGAATGGTAGATTACGTACCATCATGAAAGCTATGGCAGTGGTATAATTTAGAGTCTGATTAAGATTTTACATTTTCAGCTTTTCTTCACCAGTAGATACATAGATTATGTCTGATATTTAAAAAGGGGCTACAATTATGGGCATCTGTTGGCTCAGATTTAGTGGTTTCTAGTATGTTAAAGTGTTATTCGAATTTTCAATTTTATCTAATTTTTTTCTAAGTTATAAAGATGCTTCAAAGTGCAAAGAATTTGGTAAAAGAAGAAAATCTGACACACAGCTACCCCTATGACTGGAGGACTAAAAAACCAGTGGTCATTCGTGCTAGCAAGCAGTGGTTTATCAACATTGCAGATGTTAAGACTACAGCGAAGGTAACAGGACATTCTATTATAAGGGGTGCATTTATCATTCTTGGAGCATCAGCAGTGCACAGGTCATAATGGGGTTTGCATATAGAGATTTTGTTACTGTGATTGCATTCCTAAACCTATAGCATTTTAGATCTGCAAGGACCTTATACCTTAATTCTTTGGTTATACATACACAGCTTAAAAAGGCCGTGAGAGCACCAGTGGCTCACTCCTGTAATCCTAGTTACTCAGGAGGCTGAGATCTGAGGATTGCAGTTCAAAGCCAGCCTGGGCAGGAGTCTCTTATCTTTAGTTAACCACCCTAAAACCCGAAGTGGCTCAAAGAAGTAGAGCACTATCTTTGAGCATAAGATCTCAGAGAAGGCACTCAGGCCCTGAGTTCAAGCCACATGACCAATTAAAAAAAAAAAAGCTGTGCCTTGTCCAGTCATTTTCCTATGCAATATAATGAGAGTAGGAAGAAATCAGCACAGAACCAAGTTTAGCAAGTTTAACTTTCCAGAGTTCCTGTGGTCTCATCTACATCAAAGCAATAGTAATGTCTATCTCAGTGAGGACCCCAGTGACATATAATAGGTGTTTTATAACGTAATTTAAGCTTTTTATTTCCTTAGGATTGTAACTGCCATCCATTTAAAAAGTTGTTGCTTTAAGTTAACAATACCTTATAACTGATGTTCTAAATAGTTAATACATGTTTGATGTTCTAAATAGTTAATACATGTTTGAGCTCTTTCATTTAGTACATATATGTATCTGGATGGGTGTACCTTTATATATGTACCTATCATCCACAATAATTTGGTTTAACTGAATGAAGGAGCTCAAGTATGGCTTTGTTAGGTGGGCTATAGCATATTTTGTTCTACAGCTTGCAGGTAAGATTCTTCTGTAATTGTCTTGAGTGGTTGGTTAGTCTGGCAATTTGAGATCCTTGATAAAGTTATGCATAACAGTTTATATTTTCTAGACTTGTGTGTTACATAGTTTTTTGGTTTTTCAGTACTTTAAAGGCAGATTTTCTTATTTGTATGTACTAACATTTGTAACTTGCAGCTCTGCACAGTCTTTTGGTTGTAGAACATCTAAGTCTGATATAACATGTTTAAACCAAAACAATTGTTTTGTTTTGTTTTTGTTCTTTTAGTTAGGCTTATTTTCCCTCATAGATTATCTTTAGTTGCTGCGTGTAGAAATGGCAGGATTATGGTACCTAGCTATCATCCCAGCACTTGGAAGACTAACACAGGAGAATCATGAGTTCCAGACCTTATGTTAAAAACAAAACAAACAAAAGGCAGAGGCACTTATAGGGTAATTTATTGCTAGATTCTCATGACCTACCTTGAAGAATAATCAACTTTTGTCTAATTCTCATTCCCTCCTCCTCCATACCCTACATTTTTTTTTTTTTGTCGGTCATGGAGCTTGAACTCTGGGCCTAGACACTGTCCCTCAGATCTTCAGCTCAAGGCTAGCATTCTACCACTTGAGCTACAGCCCCACTTCCAGATTGCTGAGTGGATTATTGGAGATAAGAGTTTCACAGCCGTTCCTGCTTGGGATGGCTTTGAACCCTGATCCTCAGATCTCAGCTTCCTGAGTAGCTAGGATTTATAGGCGTGAGCCACCCAAGCCCAGCTACCATACTTTTTTATACCCAGCTACTGGATTGTTTTAAAGTAAATATTGGGCATTTATTTTCTTATATTCTGTTTTTTTATTTATTCCAGGAAACATTTCAACATAATGACTTTTTTGTTTTGTTTTGTTTTGTTTTATTTTTTGGTCCAGTCTTGGGGCCTGAACTCTAGGCCTGGGCGCTGTCCCTCAGCTCTTCAGCTCAAGGCTAGCACTCTACTACGTGAGCCACAGCGCCACTTCCAGCTTTTTTTTTCTGCTTATGTGGTGCTGAGGAATTGAACCCCGGGCCTCATGCATGCAAGGCAAGCGCTCTACCACTGAGCCACCTTCCCAGCCCCGACTTTTTTTTTTCTGAGACAGTCTTTATAGTCCAGACTGGCTTCAAACTTCAGTCCTCCTTCCTTAGTCTCTAGAGTGCTAGGATCATAGGCATATGTCACCATACCTTCTGGTTAATAATTTTTTTTTGAGAGATTTGGGAGGGTAAAATCTTACCATATAGCCCAGGCCAGCCTTGAACTTGGACTCTATTACAGGGATGTACCACTATGTACAGTTGATAAAGACTCTCCAAAGCATCATTTCAGTGTCATTGTCAGCAGCTTTACACAGCAATATTTATTCCGTAAGAAAAATCAAATCTAGTCATTTGCATTTCATCAATTTTACTTTTGTTTTTGTTTTGTTTTGCCAGTCCTGGGGCTTGAACTCAGGGCCTGGGCACTGTCTCTGTTCTTCTTCTTTTTTTTTTTTTTGGTCCGGTTGTGGGGCCTGAACTCTGGGCCTGGGCGCTGTCCCTCAGCTCTTCAGCTCAAGGCTAGCACTCTACCACTTGAGCCACAGCGCCACTTCTGGCTTTTTTGTTTTTGCTTATGTGGTGCTGAGGAATCGAACCCAGGGCCTCATGCATGCAAGGCAAGCGCTCTACCACTGAGCCACCTTCCCAGCCCTCTGTCCTTTTGCTCAAGGCTAGCACTCTACCATTTGAGCCACAGTGCCACTTCTGGCTTTTTTGTGTATGTGGTACTGAGGAATCGAACCCACGGCTTCATGCATGCTAGGCAAATACTTTACCACTAATCCACATTCCTAGCCCCTCCTTGATTTTTTAAATCAAGTACTAATGGAATTGTAGAGTATTTATTTATTTATTTTTTTTTGGGGGTCCAGTTGTGGGGCCTGAACTCTGGGCCTGGGCGCTGTCCCTCAGCTCTTCAGCTCAAGGCTAGCACTCTACCACTTGAGCCACAGCGCCACTTCTGGCTTTTTTGTTTTTGCTTATGTGGTGCTGAGGAATCGAACCCAGGGCCTCATGCATGCAAGGCAAGCACTCTACCACTGAGCCACCTTCCCAGCCCTTGTAGAGTATTTACTATGTAGTGCTAGAGGTTTTGAGAATGAGGTGTTTCAGTTAAAAATGAGTTAGGAAAATACTTAAACTCATTTCAAAAATAGGAAGCTGCTTTTATTAATGAATAGAGATTCTTATAATATTAATGTATTTGGCTTTTTGCGATTATTACCAATTTGTATTGAAAAATTAGTCTTTTGGTAGTTGACAAATGAAGTGAAATGCTAGTAGCTTACGCTTTGGGGGGAGAGTTCTCAGTAGATGGTGAATAAATAGCAGATAACTGTTAACTTTGGGACAGTATCTTCTGAATTGTAAACTATGATACATAAAATAAGGTTATAATATAATTCTTACTTGTCAGCATAGAATAGTAGCTTATTTCAGCATTTAAAAATTACTGAAATAAAATTATTTTAATCTTAACTGTAGTTTAATGAAATATGCTAATATTAAGCTTTTTATGGCGAGTTTTGATCTAGAGTAAAATCTGATTTTAGATCATTGTTGTTATGTAACCCCCAAGCTGGTATTGAACTCAACCTTCTGAATGCTGGGATTATAGGCATGCACTTATATCTGGCTATGTACCCTTTTTTTTTTTTTTTTTTTGGGTCCGATCGTGGGGCCTGAACTCTGGGCCTGGGCGCTGTCCCTCAGCTCTTCAGCTCAAGGCTAGCGCTCTACCACTTGAGCCACAGCGCCACTTCCAGCTTTTTTTCTTTTTGCTGAGGAATCGAACCCAGGGCCTCATGCTTGCAAGGCAAGCGCTCTACCACTGAGCCACCTTCCCAGCCCCGGCTATGTACTTTTGTTAGTAATTTGTGGCTTTGTTTTTATTTGCCCCGTTGGCTCTAATTTTTTTTTCATTTTCCCTCCCTCCCTCCCTCCTTTCCTTCCTTCCTTCCTTGTACTGAGAGTTGAACTCAGGGCCTTGTACTTGCTAGGCGCTACTGCTCTCAGTCCTGGGTTTGTTTTGTTTTGGGTAGTTTCGTAGGGATCATGTTGATCAGTATAAGCATCCAAATGAAAACTACAGTTGGAAAGGCGATGCCAGTTATACAAAATATTATTTTGATTTCTCTCATTTGACTGATGAATCTACTGCAGGAATTGTTAAAATCAGTGAAGTTCATCCCTGGAGCAGCACTCAATGCCATGGTGGACATGATGGACAGGCGGCCATATTGGTGTATATCAAGACAAAGAGTTTGGGGTGTTCCAATTCCTGTATTTCATCACAAGACAAAAGATGAATACTTGATCAACAGGTAGAACTTTTTCCATAATTTTTCATTATCTAAAGTAAGTGTGGTTTCCTTCAAAAATTGAAAAACAGTTTAAACTATTGAGTATAAAATCCTTTGTGTTTAATTAACTAATTAATTTAGATGATATCTCACTGTCACCCGGGCTGCCCTGCCCTCTTGACTCTCTTGCCTCATCCTCCTAAGAGGTGGGATTGCAAGCATGTGCTATCACACCTGGTTTATCACATAGGCTTTAAATTAAATATTGTGCCGGGCGCCAGTAGCTCACACCTGTAATCCTAGCTTCTCAGGAGGCTGAGATCTGAGGATAATGGTTCAAAGCCAGCCCAGGCAGGAAACCCTGTGAAACTCTTATTGCCAATAAACCATCAGAAAACCGGAAGTGGCACTGTAGCTCAAATGGTAGAGTGCTAGCCTTGAGCTGAAGAGCTGAGAGACAGTGCTCAGGCTGAGTTCAAGTCCCACGACCGACCAAAAAATGAAAATAAAAAATTAAATATTGTAAAATAGCAATTTTTAGAAAATGTTTCCAAAAGATTCTTCTTATGGTTGAGATCAAGATTTTTTTCTGTACCAATAATTAGAAAAAAAACTCTTTTTTTCTATGAAAAAGTACTATTTACCTTGAAGTATCAAGGATCTAACCATGAGCGGTGTTTATTTAGTGTGTGAGCCTGAAATAAGATTTTTCTCTTGACAGAATCATTTTGAGTTGTATACCATTTTCATTAGAAATAGCATTGTGTAATTGTTCAGATACTTTAAATTTTAAGACATTGTAACAAGTACATGCACACAGAAGCATTGGCGATTATATCCCAGTTATTTCTTGTTTTTCTTTTTCTTTTTTTCTTTGGGTCTGGTTGTGGGGCCTGAACTCTGGGCCTGAGGGCCATCCCTCAGCTCTTCAGCTCAAGGCTAGCACTCTACCACTTGAGCCACAGTGCCACTTCCGGCTTTTTTTGTTCTTTTTTTTTGCTTATGTGGTGCTGAGGAATCGAACCCAGGACCTCATGCAGGCAAGACAAGTGCTCTACCACTGAGCCACCTTCCCAACCCCTATTTCCTGTTTTTCTTATTTGTCTTACCATGTAGCCCAGGCTGGCTCAAACTCCAGATCCTCTTGTTGCATTCTTTCAAGTGTTGGTATTGCAGGCATGTACAACCACACTCATCTTATTTTAGAAGTTTTTGAAAAGTTGATTGACATCATTGCGACCTTTGGATCTTGGCCTCCTGAGTAGCTCAGATTAAATAGAGGCATGAGCTAATAATGATGGTACTTTGATGAAGGCTTTTTTTGTTGTTGTTGTTATATTTAGGCACATAGTGGTATTTATTTAATTTTTGCTTCTGGGGGTTGAACTGAGAGCCCTGCACATGCCCTCCTATGTATTTTGAGTTTCACTAATTTTTTTCTTTTGGTTGGTAATTCTTAGCATCCTCCATTAAAAAACTAGGTTTTATCATTACCTTATGGACTATAATGACAGGATTGAGAGAAAACTACAGACTATAGAGCTAGACAATGTAGCCCACTGGTTTCATCCACAGGGGATGTAGCCTTTCACTCGAGTCTCAAGGTAATGTAGGAAGAGGGGAAAGGTGTGTCACAAGTGGTAGAGTCAACAGGAGTTGAGACCGGGAGGGGAAACTAGCCTATGTGTGTGTAGCATGCTTGGGAGAGCAGGGTCTCAGGGGCTGGAATGTAAACTAAGATGATTGGTTGGGGGAAATCATAAGGAAGCTAATAAATATCAAGAAATCTCAACTTCTTTTTTCTCTCTGTGTCAGTATTGAACTCAGAGCCTGGGCACTCCCCTTTAGCTTTTCACTCAAAGCTGGTGCTCTGCTACTTGAATGATGGTGGTTAATTGGAAATAAGAGTCTCAGGGTGGGCTGGGAAGGTGGCTCAGTGGTAGAGCGCTTGCCCTGCATGCCTGAGGCCCTGGGTTCGATTCCTCAGCACCACATAAGCAGAAAGAAAAAAGCCAGAAGTGGCACTGTGGCTCAAGTGGTAGAGCGCTAGCCTTGAGCTGAAGAGCTGAGGGACAGCGCCCAGGTTCAGAGTTCAGGCCCCATGACCGGACCCAAAAAAAAAAAAAAGAGTCTCAGGGTCTCCTGCCTAAGCATGTGCTAGCTTTGAACCATAATCCTCAGATCTCAGCATCCTGAGTTGCTAGGATTTGCCAACAGTGCCTGGCTGAATTTTCAACTTTTATATAGGCATGAGGAGGACTGAGAGTGTGTCTAGAAAAAGAAAGAAAGAAAGAAAGAGAAAAAAAGAAGAAGAAAGAAAGATAGAAAGATTACTCATAGAAAGCACGAGAGATTTTTTTTAAATAAATTTTTATTTTTTTTATTGTGAAAATACTGTACAGAGGGGTTACAATTACACGGGCAAGATAATGAGTACATTTCTTATCAAGCATTGTAGCCTCCTCCTTTGTTAAGAGAGAGATTGTTATAAGGCTCTTTTGGTATTGTACTATTTAGAGCTAACTGAAGATTCTGGGCTAAATACTTTCGTTTTGCAGCTGTAATAATTTAGAGTTTGGGAGCTGGGAATGTGGCTTAGTGTTAGAGTGCTTGTCTAGCATTCATGAAACCCTGAGTTTGATTCCTCAGTACTACATAAATAGAAAAGCCGGAAGTAGTGCTATGGCTCAAGTGGTAGAGTTGCTAGCCTTGAGCTTCTTAAGCTCAGAGATGGTGCCTAGGCCCTGAGTTCAAGCCCAGGACCACAGATTCAAATGATTATAGTGGGTAAATCAGCACAGTTCTCTTTCAAGGAAGCATAAGCTACCGCCATTATTTATCATTTCTTTCAATATTTAGAGGATAAAGCTTTTAGAGAATTACCTTAAAATGACAGAGGTGGGCTATATGTACATATACTGTTAATAGGCAGAACATACTATGTTTGGGTTTTTTTTTTAGGCTATATGTACATACACTGTTAATAGGTAGAGCATACTATGTTTGTTTGTTTGTTTTGTTTTTTTTTAATGGTGTTGGGGTTTAAACCCAGAACCTCCCCAAGTGCCAAGTTCAGACCATATACCACCTAGCTGCACCCCCAGGCCAGAGAAAACTGATTTAATTGAACATTACTTCATGTAAAAATATACTTAGGTGGAATGGTTTATAATTCACCGATTTATAGTTAGATTAGTAAATGTCAGCTCTGTCAGAAAAACACAAGCAAGTTTTCATTAGGTAACATTTGCCTTTTATTTAGTCATTGCATTTACCTGATTGTATTACAGACTCAAGTCCATTATCTGTTGCTGTGTTGCTTGCATGATTGATTTCTGGTTGTGAAGTAGCAGAGACATACAGAATATTGGCCTATAGAAGTGACAGACAAATTCAGCCACATCGTCTGTCAATTCATAGGTCATTTTCCTGTACACCATTTGTCATGATGACTCTTTTCCTACTGAATTGTTGGGTCCATTACATGACATAACACTTGAATTTCTGACATTTGTTCTTAATGGTCAGCCTTATGAAACAGAATGGGAAGTTATTATTTTTTTCTCCCTAATCAAATAAGAATTGAGGAGTCATGCTTTTCTTTCTTTTTAGGCCTTGTACTGTAGAAAGGTGGTGACCATCAGAAGTAACAGCAGCTCCACTGGGAATTGCTTCACAGTCCACATGGAGTTGCTGTTACACCTGATAGTGCCACTAAGTTCCTCAACTTCCTTCTACTTATTTTTTATTTTCTTATTTTTCCTGTGTGGGTCCACGGATTAAACCCAAAGCTTGTCAGATGTTAGACGAGTGCTTCACCACAGGTCCTAGAGCTACATTCCCAGTCCAGCCCTCCCTTCTTTCCAAGAAATAATTCCATTTTTGAAGTTAGTATCATTAATCAAATATCACATAATTTAGATTGAAATCTGCTTCTATGAAAATGAAAAAAATTATCATAAAAAGATAAACATGAAAACATTTGTTACCAACGAAGGAAAATAAGTTGATTAAATTTCTTTCCTTACTTCAGATGAAACTAACCATTGCAATACTTAATATCTATTTAGGAAACTTTGACTTCTAGAAATGAGAAATCTAGTAGCACTTTTCAGTTTAATTGAAGCCTACTTTTAACTTTAATTTTTGTTTCTTAATAGTAATGACATTTCATTGCAAAACTTTTATGTTCATTAGAGAAAAAAATATTGAAATTTGTTTCCTGTGACCTTTAAAATGGATATAATTAAAGTATAGATAGAATGCTCCCTTTCCAATTTCACTGTTAAATTCAATTTTGTCAACAGATAGGAAACATTTAGCCGCTCTTACCTCATTCTTACCCTAGTAAATTGCAGAAGAAAAGTCTTAGCACCATTAATGTTTTCGCTTCTAAAGACGAAGCACAGCAAGCGGTGGAATGACAGCAGCAGTTTCATTACCTGTGACTCCTAACGCTGCCTGGCTTCCAGTAATACAATAAGCCTTTAGTCCCTTTGATAGCAGAGTACAGAATGATTAGCTGGTGGTGTTGCTCCTACTGGTTTTCACTGATTGAAACCTAAGAAGGGGCACGTAATGCTTGTGTTTAGATAAGGCCTTTGAGTAAAGTACAAAGTTTTATGATGGACTTTCTGCTCTATGAAATACAGCATTAAATGGAAGTACTTAGATTACATAGAGATAAGTGATCACACCCATCTTTATCAACAGTAATTTATACTGATCTGTAGGTTACAAGTTAACTGTGTATTTGTTTTAAGTACATGATATTGTTAACAAAATAACGAGAATTCTTACATTCTAACGACAAATGTGGACTATTCTTTTTTGCTCCCCCTCCACCCCCAAAAAGACTGCATCTTGGGGAAATATGGAGACAAGTGTTTTTAGATACCTTAAAGCATGCTCTGTTTCATTAGAAAATTCCACTTCTGAGAGTTTTGTTATTAGGAGAGAAGAGGGCCAGTGTTTTTTGTGGTATGTAAGATGTCCAACATAGCTGTGTGTAACAGAGCATA